ATATATATATATATATATATATATATGTCCTCGACACACGTATCCGTAGGTATATATATACCTACGGATATATAACGTACCCGTAGGTATATATATTACCTACGGATACGTGTGTCGTGGGCCCAGCCAAATGCTGTGTCGAGAACTAGAACAAGACACGGGGGAGTTTGATGTTGTGGAGTGGAGCTGTTGGTTCCGCGTGAATAACCTACTTGCAAATAGGTCTTGGCGCGCGCATATAAGCTCGGCGGGCTTTGAGCGTTGCAGCGTTCCTGGGTCTTATACAGCTGGACGACGGCAGGTCAGCGAAACTTATGCCGCTCGAATCGGTTGCTCCCGACTATTGAATTGTACATAGTGCACTGTTGTAACGGTGAGGTTCATATGACAGCTGCGCTGGAGCATGAGAAGGAAAGTACAAAGGTTAGGAAGGGATTCGTCGACGACGCATTGTTCGGGCGGCGGCGCAGCAGGCTGTGCGTTAGTGCTTTTTTTTCTATCTGCAGTGAAATGCCTATATACAGGAGTTTTGCGGAGGATTATATCGGGAGAATTACCCTGCAGGAGATGCTGCCATATTCCTCGATATGTCCTTACGTTACATACTCACATGGAGGGATGAACCAGTTCCCGAGCAAGCCATTTTGCAACAATTCAACTGCTGGGGAATGCCATGGTGTGGTTGTTACCGTGGGAGGTTCCAGCCGGGGCTTTCTAATGCATTCCTGCTACTGCATTCTCTTCCGAAGTGACGGAACTGCTTCACTACCACCTAACATGAGAGACAGTACTTGAGCTTGCACATAAAGCTGTTGTGAGCCTTCAGTTACAGTTAATTGCAGTGGAACATATCATGATGCCTCTTGTTCCAGAGGTACAGGGCCTGGGCTACAGTACTCAGGAACTTGACGGGAGGTCAGCCATTTAAGGGACTGCCCTCTAACTGCTTCGGCTCCACTGGAGCTCACAGTTGTCCTTCGACAGCGTGGGCAGGCGTCGCCACACCTAGCTTAAGGGTCTTGGGTCGCCCCCTGTGATGCCTGGAAACTGCAGCTGGAGGATAAATGCTTTCAAGGGACTCATATTAAGTACTTCGACTCCACTGCAACTCGCAAGAGTACGTGTTACCGGCCTCGTTACACTGGTTCCAGCGTACGACCGGGTAAATCTCCACATGATATTTGCAGTACCATCGCCAGCAGGCCTGGTGGCACGTTAGATACCCTTGGTTCCGTGTGCACAATTAGTAGGGAGCTGTGAGCCAGGGCAGCAAGAAAGCAGATGAAAACAGCAGGCCCCATGGGATGATATGCTCGTCAACCGTAGGTGGACACGAGTGAGTCCCAGCGCCGTGCACGTACAGCTTCACAAGCGCCAAATCTGGTGTAAAATGAACTAAAATAGAAAAATTAACTGTAATGGCCTTTTCCTCAGGAGTTGGGTTGGCCCATCTGAACAAAGCACAGCGACGACTACTGGGGCTGGATGACACTGCGTACGTGCCGCAGCACATCGCTGCGCGAGAAAGATCAGTTATATTATTCGGGAGTTTCTTGCCCAGAAAAGTAATGCATTTTTGTTCGAACAGCAGTTTCTAGTGAAACTGCATTTCTAGTTAGAGCCTGCACCTAAAATACACTCGGCATGGAAATCCCGTAACAGTTACGTAGACATTGAGCTCGCCACAGGTGGGGCCGGCGCGATGAGATGCGTGAGGCTGTCGCTGTTTGCGCCGAATCTCTCCCCACTGTTCCTTTGCTAATTAGCCGTGATCTTGTTCGAAAGTGCGTAGCGTAGCTTAACGAAGTGATGCTAGGGGGTGGTTGTGTGGGACGTGACTGATGACTTTCGGCATAAACGTGGGGGCGCCACTACATGCACGAGAGCTGTATGCTTATTGCTGATGCGCGTGAACAACGTGGTTGCTCATGTTGTTGACTGAGAACTGGTGTGTTGAAACTCACGAGGAGGACCTACAGCCAGCCACGTGACGAATGGATGCGGGATTGTGGCGTGGGCGTGTGGCAGTCTTGTGAGGCCCTCCGAGAAACATTAGGGCCAAATGCAGTTTCCATCTGCAAATAAACCTTTCCAGCACTCGACACTGGTTCTTGCAACCCAGGTTCCATATAGGTATGCCCGACGCATGCGGGAGAAAGTTATCTGGGTTATCTTTTGCTTGGCAGAGGACCTTGTCTGTTGCTCTGGGTGCCGCAGGTCTGAATTAAAGCTCTTTTAGGAGACGAGCGCGGTGACTTGTACAACAAACAACTTCTTTTGGACTTACCAGACTGCTGCGGAATAGGGGTCGGCACAACGCATGGATTGCACCTTTTTGAGTAATATCTGGTTGCAAGCTTCAGTGCTGTCTGGCTTGCAAACGATGCTTTATGGGATTGTTCCTAAGCAGGAAATCCAGCAGTTTGAGGAAAATAAAGCGAATAGCCTCTTTGTACGGATGGAACGAGTGACATGGTCGTCGTAGTGGAAACCAGTCTGGCGTCAAAAATGAGAACTCACGCCACAGAACACATGCAGCCCCAGGCTGCCCTCACAAGCGGTCCTCTCGCCCAGGGTCATGTAAATGGGATGCAAGATGGATTTGTCCACAAAGACGGGGGTCCCCGGCCAGTGAGGCAAAATATGTTCCGCACGGCGGTGAGTTTGTGGTTGACGGCTTCTTCGTGTTGCTGAGCGTGTGTCACCTGTCACTACATAATTATTAGGATTTACCTTGCGAGAAGGAGTTGGCGTGGCGTCTGCAGAGTTGTCCACTAGGTAGTAGGAAGGCTCGCGGCAGACTGTTGACTGTCGGTGCACGAAGTGTTTATTTTGGTGCTCCCGCTCTTAGGATGTAACTCAAACGAAGGGCAACGAATTTGAGGATTACTTCTTAAAGCGTGAACTACTCAAGGGTATATTTGAAAAGGGTTTCGAGAAACCCTCGCCAATACAGGAAGAGGCAATTCCAGTTGCACTCTCTGGCCGCAACATTTTAGCCCGTGCCAAGAATGGAACGGGGAAGACTGCTGCGTTCGCAATTCCGGTCCTGGAGAAGTGCCAAATTAACAAGCGCGCAATTCAAGGTACGCGCTGCATCCGCGTTGTTGTAACTGCTATGTAAGCCACGTTTCAAAGCCTGAGTGCTAAACGGCCTTTCATCGGTTTCGCATTAGGCTGTCATAGGGTTCCAGTTGGTTGTGTCTTGCGGCAGGTTTGATCCTTGTCCCTACTCGTGAACTTGCACTGCAAACGAGTGCTGTCGTGAAGGAACTAGGTAAATACCTAAACGTGCAATGCATGGTTTCGACGGGGGGCACGAGCCTTCGAGATGACATCATGCGGCTTCACAACACTGTTCATGTTCTTGTGGGGACGCCTGGGAGGATTCTGGATCTTGCAAACAAAGATGTGGCAGATCTGCGACAATGTCACATTGTGGTTATGGACGAGGCCGACAAACTGCTTTCCCCAGAATTCCAGCCGATTGTTGAGAAGCTAATCGAGTTCATTCCTATGCAGCGGCAAATACTGATGTTTTCTGCCACATTCCCCGTGACAGTCAAGGACTTCAAGACTAAATATCTTGCAGATGCTCATGAAATAAATCTAATGGACGAGCTAACGCTGAAAGGCGTAACCCAGTACTACGCTTTCGTGGAAGAACGACAGAAAGTTCACTGTCTAAATACATTGTTTGCGAAGGTGGGACATTGACGACCGGCAGGTTTCGTCTCGCGCAGCACCTTGCTCCCCCCTCTCGGTTGGGGGACTAGTGTAGGTGTTGCTTTTGTGGTGCGTGCTCCACCTGACGAGTGCGAATAGTGTCTGCGTAGGGGGAGTTGTGTTAGCGGGCATGCTCGTCGCGAGTGTAATGTGCTTTGTGTTCCATTCAGTTGCAAATCAACCAGGGCATCATCTTTTGTAACAGCGTGACGCGCGTCGAGCTGTTGGCAAAGAAGATTACAGAGCTGGGCTTTTCCTGCTTCTACATACATGCGAGGATGCTGCAGCCTCACCGCAATAGGGTGTTCCATGATTTTCGAAATGGTGCCTGCCGCTGCCTGGTGTCGTCGGATCTGTTTACAAGGGGTATTGACATTCAGTCCGTCAATGTCGTGATTAACTTTGACTTCCCTCAGAATTCAGAGACGTATTTGCACAGAATTGGACGTTCTGGCCGCTTTGGTCACCTGGGTTTGGCGGTGAATCTGGTTACGTACGATGACCGGTTCAACCTCTACAGGTGCGTTCAGTAGCGAGCTCGACTGACGCAGCACGCCCCCGTTCATTTGTGGAAATTCATCTGATCCACATGGGGTGGAGACAACCAGTTGAAGTGCGGCTGATGTGCGGTTTTTCAGGATCGAGCATGAACTTGGGACCGAAATAAAGCCAATACCCAGCCACATCGACCCCGAAACATATACATGATGGATGGGCATCCCAAACCTTCTTCCTGGGGGCAGCGCCATGCCCGTAGAGCGATGCCGTTTTAGGGAAGGTGCAGGGTTTAGGAGCGTCGTCATGTCGTGTTCTGTGGACATTGCAACCGCGGTTTGAAGAGATCACCATTTCCTCATTTTCGTGTGTTTGCTTGGGAACTGAAAAAACGAACAATTGGTTGGGACGATTTCGGTGGCAGGGGCCAAACACGCTCCTTGAGTGCCATAAGGCCTAAGAGACGGTAGCGACACACGTAATCTTTTAGCGTGGCTGTGTTGTTGTTGTAGTTAGGAGCATGCGTCTCAGAGCATCAAGCTGCAGTATGTAGTCCTGTATATAGGGCATGTCTGAATATGGCGAGCTAGTGCATAGAAGCTGAGGTTGAAATTACTGCTCTGTGGAGCCAATGGGATGCCCACACCAACCTATGCCGTCCTCAACGCAACAGGGCACACGGTGCACTGCTGACTTGCTCGTGCCGTACACGGAACCAGTATTTGCCCACCTCCGCCTCAGCTGGCGTTATAGTGAGTGTGGAGTGCGTGAAGGCCACTGTAGGTGGCCGTAGCAGTTGAAGGTTCTTCACGATTTACGATGGGAGCAGTGGTACTGACAGGCCAACATGTTGTGAAGAATCGCTCCTGCGCATAACGGCGGGCGGGCACCTTTCCCTCCAGAGGAGCTAGCGTACGTTCTTCTTCACAACGTATTTCCGCGAGAGTTTTGTTGCCGCCAAGTACTGAAAACATGCACACCACGATCCGCAGTTGCGTCATACGTATGACGTCGCAACTGGGATTCGTCATGCGACAGCTGCACAGCCAGCATGTGCAAGTGTGTCTTCGACCCACCTGATGAGGCCCTAGTCTCTTCCACTTAAGCGCTTCTGCCTTTGTGAGCCTTACTCCAGGCTTGGGCATCGCAGTTGTGCGGAACACGAGACGAACATGGACGCCCTTCATACCAAACTCCTCCCTTATTGCGTTGATCAGCTGTCGTTTATAGTGGGTTGGGAAGTGAGCATATACGTTTGACCATGCCACAAAGGTTGGCGGTTTCGCCTGAACCTGAGTTATGTACTTCACCTGACACTGCGATCCCAACCTCCAAGGAGGGGGCCAGTGGGTGGTGTATTGCTGAAGCCACAAATTTAAGGTGCCGGTGGGGACGCGACTGCACCACTGCTTGTACACAAGACAGGATTTGTTAAGCAAGGTGTTCAGATTCTGCGCCTGCGTGGCAGAGGTGAACACCACGGGGCACGCCTTCAGGTGTCCCAGGCCACTTTGCAGTCGCTCGAGTATTAACTGTCGCAAGTGGCTTTGCTTGCTCAGACCCACTAGGTCCCACTTGGTGATGCATACAACCAAGCCGCGTCCCTCCTTCTCGGTTGCTAAGTTGGCCAGCGACAAGTCATGCGAACTCAAGTGGCCAGTCTCTTGTATAAGTGCCGCATCAATGCATAAAATACACACATCCGAACAGCGGATATTGCGCATTGTCTGCAAGGACGCTTGCTGCAGCATGTCATCTCCTCGCATCCTCCAACCTCTAGTTACTCCTGCTGTATCGATTAAAGAAATATGGTGCTTCTTGAAACAAAAATTGATGCAAATAGAGTCCGTTGTAGTACCAGGCGCTGCACTTGCTTTTAATCTGTCCTCCTTCAAGATTGAATTGATCAGGCTCGACTTCCCAGCGTTTGGCCGCCCAATGAACGTCATACGAATAGGGACTTCACTCTCGTTGCCTCGCGAAGCCACAAGTGGGTGATTAACGGAAGAAGCATTAAATTTGTCGAGACATCCCTGCACTCCATCGTCGTGAAGCGGCCTTCCTCCCTTGCCTTCCTGCTCACGTTGTGCCACCACGTGCTGCTGCAACAAATCCCGTACGCAAAAGGGGAAGTATCATTGAAAAGAAGAGCTCAGTGTAGAATGTAGAATGCGTCTACCTTCAAACAATAGAGTTTATGCAACCAAGTGATTCCTGCAATGTACTATGTGCAGCGACCTCCTACACCCTCCCCTGTAAACTTGACCGGGACCACTCAACTTATTTCACGACTTAATGCATAACGTTGAGTGAATGGTCTGAAACGGACTCGAGTACAAGAATATAAAAGCTAGCTGATTCTACCGAGTTCAGCTGGGAGCATCCAACATGAGGGCATGGGTTTCAGGCACGTCTACTCTTGATATCTGCGGCTCTGCGCCTACCTGCCTTGTCTCTTCGCCAGAGCCCTGCTTGCCTTTAAGAGCAGTTTGGCCGTCCGATGTTGCACTGTCGACTGGCGCCTTCTTCAGCGACCAAGGCAAGTCTAAGTAGCCCACCAACGACTGGTTATACGCTAATGTTGTGTGCACCCCACGTCCGTATCGTCTAGATAAGCCCTGAAGCCACGCTTCCGTTGCAGCAGCCTTCTTGTGAAAGGCATCCCCTGCATTCTGTAACAGCAAAAGCAGCAAGTAAACCTGGGCAAGTCAAGGGCTGCAAGAGGAACATTCCCATTCAGTTGCCACCCCAACAGCACCTCACTAGGAGAATACCACAGCGCTGGGAAAGGAAAAACGCTCATGGGTACCTCTTGCTCTAGTGACACTGCAGCAATGCATTGGCGCCGTCCTGGTTCTTTTAGTTCTTCCTCAATTCGTGCATATAACTCGTCGAAGCCCTGTGGCAACACAAGCCCACTAATGCCGTCTCTCCATCCCCTAGCTCGCTTCATCCGTGCTGTTCTTTCCTTTCCACGTCATGCCACACACATATGATTCAAGAAAATAACACTGTTTTGCGGATAAATGTGGCACCGCACTTTCTTTGTTCTCGCAGACACTGTTACGGGGTGGCCGAGCTGGAGTTCGTAGGCGTCTCCTATGCATTCCGCCCCCTGTATCCCTTCTGTCTTGTTGAGTACGAGAATGACTGATGGATGCCTCTTTACAGTAGCTAAAGGCCTAGCCTCATGATACTCGTCAGGGCATTTGGCTCTATGTTCAGTTGTCGGCTTTCCGTTTCTGAGTATTCGCAGCTGTCGTGCAAACATTTCATCGATGGGCGTTATGCCCTCCTTGGCATCAACAACGAATAAAATTACGTCAGATGTGTCTACCGCTCGACCAACCTGCACAACGAACAGAAAACTGCAGGACGGAGTAGAATGTTAAAACAAACGAGACCAGCTATCCCACACAGCATGGGGCTGCCCGTCAACACTACCCCGTTGAGAAGGGGGACAGCTATCCTACGTTACCACAAGGTTCAAGCCTTACTTGTGTGCATATCTGTTGCATTGGCTTGAATGGTGTATCTTCGATGCTTGCCTCAATTCCCGGTGTGTCCGTTATCAACAAACTCAGGGGTCCACATGAGCAAAGGGCCTCCTTGCGGTCGCGAGTGGTCCCAGGGTAAGGGTCAACAACGGCAAGCTGATGTGGTGTTGTCTGAGTTTGCTTCATGCTGCTAGACACCAAAAACCGATTATACACGCTGCTCTTACCCACATTCGCTCGGCCAACCAGCGTAACCCGCCAAGGAGGCGCAGGTGGGGAACCCGACGCAGGTCGGGAAAACCCCACAAGCGTGTGTTGTTGTCTGCAGAGCCATCGACTGCAGGATGAGAAACGAGCAATGATGGACGGATGAAACGGCGTTTTCTCGTAGTGAGTTGATATTCCAATACGTATTGCCCGACTCCATGAGAATTCTCCAGTATGCCGTCGCCTGGAAATGCTTCCTCTACAGTTGTGCAAGCGAGCAGCGGACCCTTCAGTAAACTTGACTGTCAGCATATCACTCGAGCTTCTTCCGGCATGGGCCCCTCTGTATCCCAGCGGTGATGGGCAGTGTACAAGCGACTCGAGACGTCTCCTGCTGATTGGTTGCCAGTAATGTTGGGCTTGCACGGTGAGACGCATTTGATGCGTCAGCGGCCGCAAAAAGCACTCTCTCCATAGTAGAACAGATTCAACCTTCCAATGCAGATGAGACCAGAACGGTGTAAGCACATCCACGATTCACCTACTCCTCCAAGTGTTCCGGCCAAAAAGCTCTGAAACGCGGAGCTGTGCCTGCACCAAAGGTCAAATTGGAGGCAAGCACGAGTCATTATATAATTAGCAATATCGGGGGAATACCCATCCAAATGCGCTACCATCCTATGCAGAAGGGATCATCCAGCCCCGAGCAGTACCCTCGTCGATTGCATGAGCCAGGGCCCCAAAGCTTCAACTCCAGCCACCTTTTGCCGTCGATGTATTTTCGTATGCAATAATTTGTACTTTTCACTGAGGTTTTGGCCTCCTTAAGTGTCCCGAACAATATTCCTAGGACGGATATCCGAAGTTTGCCGGGTCCGTTATACGCTCGTCGGAGCGTAGCACGGCACACGGAGACACCTCAAAATGAGGCCCCTCACTGAAGATGAAATAAAACTGGTTCTGGAAAAGCTGTCTAAATTGTGAGCCACTTGAATATCATGGCGGCGGCTCCACAATTTTTGTAGCGCGATGACCGACTTCTTGTCGGCTTCTATTGACTGCTTCGGAATACAGGAAGTTGGGCGCGTTTGCCACAGGATGGGTGCGAATGTGGTGCAGTAAATAGTGTTAAGACCTTTACATGTAGCACTTTGTGCATTCCGTTTCTTGTTTGCAGCCTTGGCGACAACTTATTGCACATGATTGAAAACCCTTCAAACCCTCATCTCTTCCGACTGCATCGGGATCGCGTTTTCTTTTTGAAGTGGGCAAGAACCATTTGAGATTGCACACATGTGAATTTGGCTAGCAGGAAATGAACAATTTCTGCACATGCAACTCAAAAGGGGTATTGCTTCTTATCGTCGGGAGCTGATTCTGCTGATGAATTAGTGCGTGTAATCAAGCAGTGCTGACTTTGGCTCATGGAAGGGGAAGGGTGGAGAAGATATTCACGACTGACTGTGGTGCATCTGTGTTCAGTGAAAAACTGCTTAAGGCTGCCGGATGCATTCCACGCAAAAACCTCGTAAGATTCCTCCTCCTAGCACAATATGGGTGCTTCAGGAAATTGAAGTTGCTGTAATCATACGATAACAAAATTGTGGAGTTTCGCCCTGCCGTGCTCGTACGTCAATGTCTGCACTTCACTCCATTGTTCTTTGCACCGTTTCCGTTCAGTTGAGTGCGGGTCAATGCATCGGTAAGATCACTAAAGGGCGGAAGTTCAGACTTGGCATAACAGCTCTGCACCTTATTGCCCGTTATGCGCCTCACAAGGTATGGCTGAACCCAGGAGGAGAGCAGGCGTTCGTTTACGGGAATCATATCATTAAGGTGAGAAAAGTTCAGAACAGTTTTGACCCGCCACACCTGCAAGCATAGCGAAGTGGCACAAAATGGAACCCATGTCTGCTTCCGTTGTGTAGGCGGTTCCTACCTATTTGCTCATGCATGACAGTCTGTTGCATAGCGAGGGTTTGATGAAGTGTGAGTTCTTCGCCAGTGCGACCTTATGAGGACGAATGGCAAGCTTCCGCTCTGGTTTTTTCAGTCGCTCTCCTCTCGAGAGTTGCCAACAGTCTGGAAATAATATGCGTGCTGCAAAAGAATTCTCTTGTAAACTTGCACTTTCTTTTGTGTATTCAGCGTCACGTAGGCCGGTTAACGGCGGACATGCCCAGTGGCGCAGGTGTTTGTGTACTATCTATGAACGGGGACTTACCGTTGGGCTTTGGGACGAGCGCGAAGTCAACGGCGGAAATTCACATGGCTCCTACGGAGTCTATATCTTTCTACCACCATGCAGATGTGGGCGAGTACCTCCGGGAGGAGGCAGATCTTGTTTAATGCACTAGACACGGATCTTTTGGGGGGGGGTAATTTTCAAACCGTCCGCAGCGACCATAAATGCCCTGAAGCGTGTTGTGTTTAGGGTCTAGGGTTTAGGGTTATTAAGAGGAGTTACCTAGTTCATCCTAAATAGTGTCTCTCACTGCTGAAGCTAGTTACGAAGGTTCTATGGTAACGGAGGCAGGTTTGACGGCAGTGACGACATTAAATCGCAGTTATTCCCAGATTCCTGTGCATTCACATTTTTCATTCGCTCCCCTATTTTATGGATAGCTCCTGCTGGTGTCGATACGACCTACATGTGTGTAACATCCTGTTTTTTGTGTAAAAGCAAATCCCCATCTTTAGTGTGCAGGGGACTAGTCTCTTTTGGGCTTGGTGTTGTAACAGCGATAGAGTAGAGTTCGTTCTTATTCTTGTAAGCCCTGCCACTCTAGAGGTGACATAGAACCACCTTTTCACACCCGAGTTGTGATAAGAATCAATTCGTAGTGGGTTGGATTGCCCTTGAGAAGTGGGAGAGCGTTGACGGGCGGTGTTTTCCGCCAGATGCAGTGGCCCTGCTGAGGAAATTTGGAAATATGATAATTCCTAAAAAACGCAAACAAGTAACAGATATTGAACCGGGGTTGGCTTTGACCAGGATTATCATAGCTATTTGCACATGGCAGAGCAGGCTGTGGTCATCTGCCAAGCGGATCATGCGTACTGGGTCTAGAAGCAACAGGAGAGCAAATGTTGGACTGAGGATGCATGACATAAAAAATATTAACTGTTTCAACTACGTTCATTTCTTCTTGAAGCGGATTTCAGAAAGTTCAATCATCGCGCTGTTTTCCAGGTCCCAAGGTCCGCGCAGCCGTATAGAACCGGTGGTGTCTGCTGATTCGCCAGTGTTCCGTCCCGCTTAAACAGGGAATAAACTAGGCGGCTTCAATGACGACAATAAAAGTCTTATATTTTTGTGTGTATCGTCTAAACCGGAGGGTTGTTTCATCGTGTTCTCACAACCAACGAATGTGAAAGAGACGATCGACACCGCAAGTCCCCGAATTGACACCCTCGAGGTCAGCCGCTGCTACTAGCAGCAGGACGTGACAAAAACTCATATATACTCTATCAGTATAAAGGACCTGATGTCTCGTTGGGTGCCGTGGCCGCAATGGTGGGTACCTCACAGCGCCATATTCGCCCGGTGTTTTCAGCAGTAATTTTCGCAACGTTAGTGTGCTTAGTGGCTGAAGGCTTTAGCGAAATAGGAGGTAAGCATTCGAATACTCATAATGACAAGTATCCATCCACATTGCTCCCCGAAGACAACGAACCATTCATTCACCAGGGAGCCCGCACAATAGTGGCAGGCGATATATCAACGGCTGACTAACGTATGGTCCTTTTAACTCCTGGCACTGGGACTGCGTGTTCAATTGCAGCGAAAGGCAAGCCTGTACTGCACATCTGGAGGAAGGATTCCGGGGATATTTCGCTGCATGCATCCTTTGCAGGCAGGGAAACAACAGAAAACCCACTCAAGCGTACATATTTCCATCCTCTAGGGAAGCAGCCACTACCTGAGGGCTCTAAGGCGTTGTTGTTTCCTGTTGCTACTTGGGACGAGCATTATTACAAGCCCTCTTCTAGAGGGAATACGGAGTCGGAGAGCATCAATGCGGACCCTGAGGCTTTTGGCGCAAGTCTCAGCCCTGAAACGGCACAGGCATTCTCCCTTCCATTTGCTCAAGATCTTCAAAAGGAGGCGATTAAACGGAAGGATACCGGTATGCTGAGGCGCGAATGGCAGTGCAACAAACGGTTGAAGGAACTTTTCTTTACCCTTTAAATTTGGAATATGATGTTTTCGCTTGAAGCACATTGTGGAGTATTGTGCGCGCGTTCAGCTTTGTACCCAGAGGTGGCCGCCGTGCTGACCCCAGCCCGTTATTCAGCTGCCCTGCAGTGGAGCATCAGCAAGCAGCTTCGTTCCAACCCGTAAGCTGAGACCTGGAGCTACCCGTGGAACAGCAACCCCCTGTCCCCCCTCATTTTAGGTATATCTTACCCTATCTATCCTATCTTTTGAGCTCAGGAGAGGCACACCAATCATACGCGCTCGATGGCACACCGCCGAACAATACGTGGCTGCGGCGGCAGCGCTTCGGGACGACCGGTACGCGTCGTGCAAATTACTCAGCTGTCGCACCCTTTTTCCTCCCTTGTCCTTCTTACGCGCCGCCAAAAGGCAGCCACATTGAGCTATTTGAAGTGTGCACGTATATTTGCCCGGTGTTTTAGGTGGAAGCCCTTTTTCTTCGTTGTCCTTGCTGAGTAGTAAGTACAGCCGAGCCTCAGCCTAACCGCTGATCAGGAAACTGGCCTACTGTAAATTTGCTCAAGTGAATCGCAAAAGGTGCACTTACTAGTGCCTCCTATCTCCGGTAGGCACAGGTGTTGTAATTCGTGGCGGCATTTGTGTGCTTCAACCCTTGCAGTGCGCCGGTGAAAAACCAAAATTCCAGTCAGTTCTTAGGAGAGAGAGATTTTGCTCTCGTTCCTGCAACTCAAGAATCTCTCACAGACGAAAACGGGGAACCTTTGTCATATCCATTTTCTTTGCCCACTCCACTGCAACTCCTACAGAGTGCATTTGGAGATGAGTACGCTGTCAAAGTGCTCGCTAATGGCCAGCTTTCTTCGGCCACCCAGTCATTGAGCGGTTCCGCGAGTGGCCAAGCAGGCAGAGATGCAACGGCTGCTGGATCGCCAGGCCCCCCACCTCCATCTGAGCCTTACCAAATGCGGGAGGCTAGTAGCGCTTTCTTGCGCTGGATACCGTTTGGCTTGACACGCAAACCCTCCGCATCCGAAGTTGTGGGTGAGTTGCCTGTACGATCTCCAGGTGGAGAAGCTTCTTTACTGGAATCCCCAGAAAATGAAGAGGCTTTTATTGAAGCCCTCTCCAAAAGCTTACCTCGTCGCTGGCTAAAAGCTCCAGATGGGTAAGAAAAAGGACAGCCTGTGGCGAACAGCAGAGTAGGCAAATGCTCGACTGTAATTGTCGACGGCGTCATGTCTTGTACTTTTTGTCCTTTGCCAATCCTGTAGGCGGCGTCTGGTTATCGTATTGAACGACCAGATCACGGAATGTCGGGGCTTGTTGCATCTCGCCGTGAACTCGTCGTAAGTATCTGTGGACTCTACGTCGCTGCAGTGCTCGAGGATTCCTCTGGGTTGGCTGCGCATTTTGCGTCTCCTCATACACACCAGTAACGCAGCACATTGCAGGCCAGTGCACGCTTGTCTAATGACTGTCGAGTGTTCATATCACCTGAGCATAGGGGTACTTGCCCCTTAAGTCTAAGAATGTGTTGCAAACATTTATTTGTGTACTGTGGAGTGTGGTTGGATGAATAGGGCTGGCGGCACTCCAGTATTTGTGGAAAATTCCGGAGGCCTTGACCCACGAAAGCTGCTAATGCGCCTGAAAGACGAACGTATTCGTGGGAAAAAAATGTGCGTCTTTTGCGCATGTAAAATTGCAAGACTCGTTACTGACGTTCAGGCCACGCGGTTGGTTAGCTCCCAAAGGATAGTTCAGTCTGAGTGAACATGCCTTCTTGTGGCCGCTTTTTCAGCGCATTTTTACTGTTTGCCCTGGGTGGGTCGGAGACAATGCCGATGAACACTGCATTTTTAGACCGAACAGTGCTACGAGTGCCCAAACTTCATGACATCAAATCATTTCTGGAGCAGAAGGAAAAAGAAGCAGCTGAAGACTTGGCATCCGATAAGGAGGAACTGGAGGAGATGAAGCATCATATGGAAAGGCGCAGAGCGCACCTTTTGGAGCTCGAAGGCAAAAGAAAAGCTGCTAAATTGAACGAAACAAACATAAACTTCCCGCAGGTGAGGCCGATTCTGTTTGCCGTTTCCAATAGATATGCTTATCCAGTGCGCATGATAACTTCGCTAACGTCGCAAAAATTTTGGTGCGTCTTTCAGAAGGATTCCGGAAAAAGCGGTCAAATCGAGGCGTATAAATTAAGAAAAATAGGTCAACCCCCAGTGTTTGTTCTGAACCAGTTTGACGAATACCTGCTCCGCTTCAACTACACGGAAGTTAGCGATCTGACTAGCTATGCTGAGACCCTTGCGTTGGAGCTAAAGAATGAGCCTCTCGAGATTTCAATAGCGTGCGTTTCCCCTTTTTGCTGAATTAGTTCGTTAATCAGGCGACGGAAGCGATGCATTTTGCGTAGGGTGGTAATGCTGGCAAGTATGGCATATCTGCATTTGGTGTACTCTTAGGGGAGAGACACACCGAGTTGCCGTAATGATCCTATCTGAGCCTCCCGAAACGGAAACTGAACTTGGCCCGGCGTGGGCAAGTCTTAACAAACTAATTCACATGGCCATCACCATCTCGATGATCGTCGCCCTGCTCTGCTGCCTGTGCATGTGGCGTCTGATGCTCCTTCTAAAGCAACGCTAGGGTACGCTAAGGATTTTTTCACTTCATTTTAAGAAAAGAATGCCAGGAATCCCGTGAACTGGGAGTCGCATGTTATGTGTACCATTCCCTGGTTGCCCCTTGTGAATTCCTAAATTGCAGTCTTCGGGCTCCTTAAGAAGTCGAGCAGTGCCTTTGGATCTACGTTTCAGGGCTAAGAAGGCCGCAGGTCGTCGGGTGATTCCCGTTCGATTCTAAGAATGATAATGTTTTTTCCCCCTTCGGGTGCCTCCTACTTTTCACATTTTTAGTTCGCTGCGTTTAAGCTGTTTGGCACTAGCTGGAGGATGTGGAGCACTCTCCTTTTGAATCATCGACAATAATGTTTATTGGACTGTGAATCGCAAGCATGTTCCCTTAGCCTTGGAACGTTGCAGCCTCCAAAGAATATATTGACATTCATTTCCTCGGTAGCGCTTAGATGGTACGTGAACCACCTTGTCCACTAGAGATTAAATGGCAAAATCCGGCACAGATAAATATTAGGTGCTTTTAGCACGCTGGGAGGCTGCAGTAGCTGATACACTCCATCCTAGCCAGACGTGACGATAAAATTACCAGCGTTGCAATGTTTCCAGGTACTGTATGGGCTTTTGCACCCCGTTAACTGGATTGCTTAAGCCGAATAATACAGTGCCACTTTCAACCAAGAATGTGCACACGGCCTGCAGATGTGTAAGCAGTGGCCTCATGAATATGGGAAACCAACAAAGAACTTCTGGGGGAACTCTTGAATAGGTGTTTCAAGGTACAAAGTGGCGACGAGATTTCGCGGTTTCTGTTTCTAGGGTGTTTCCCGTAGAATTTTGAGAATTGCCGCCCCGTCCATCCAGAGAATCCGTGCATATATCATTTTAACTGGGATGTGAGCACGCTTGGCAATAATTATGTCCAGCTGACCCGTAAGAAAACTGGATTCTTTCAAATAAATAGAAACTGGAAAAATTAGGTTGCAAGAAAGCCACGGGGACGAGCAAACGGTTGAAGCTTGCTTGTTGTGTCATATCTATGGTAGATACAGTTGGCTTGAACTTAACCCGGCACACACACAATCGGTTTGACTTCTAAGAGGGTGCTTAAGAACAGAGAAACAAAATTAGCATTTACGTGAAAGAAAGCAGCTGGACTTACGGTTTCGCTGGCATCCCAAATTCTTCACAACTGACCATGATGTACTGCGTCACTAGTTTCGGCAAATTCGTGCAGGAGAACTTGCTAGTAAAGCCCTTAATGGGCAGTGTCGACTAGCTCCTATTTAAAAATTCTCCATCTAAAAGGTTATTCACTTGTATGTGTGCACATCCTAAAGCAATGAGGGTATGGTTTACCGTTCGGGTTCGCAGCCGACACGCAACAGCCACCCATTATTTCTTGAATACACTCGCATTTGGCATCAAAATCCTTCCAGTTTGCTCTTTCATAATGCTACACCAACTACAAAAAGGCTTTTTGATACTTAAAAATGGGCCATGGGCCATTTTCTGTATGGGAAGGCCGAAATAGTTGAAGTGGTACAGCACCGGTGTAGGGGACTTGACCGCCGGCCTTCTGGGACGCCGGCATGCCCCAGCAGCACGTTTTAAGTTTGCCTTCTCTTTCTGTTCTTTTATAAAGTAAGAGACTTACCCTGGGAAGGTTCTTTTCTGGACATCCCAAAATTTATTTGCGCAGCTCCATCGAGTGGCGATCGCGGGACCCGCTAGGGGCTTGCTGCCTTCTCAGGGTTGGCCTCCGTACTGGAAACATCCTGAGACTGAAAGGGGCTAGTCTACAGAAGCTAGCAAATGCATGCCGATTGGAGTTGCTTCACACACTAAGGTATGCCGCGGCTACTTTGCTACTTTCGGCGTAACGCCGCGCCGCCGCCCGACCTCATCACGCATCTTGTCTAAATCTTTATCCTGCCACCCGGCGAGCAACAAATCTTTGGGTGTCCCTAAGAGTTACTTTAAAGACGTTCGATGATAAGCCGGGTATCTTTTGCTTGAGACAGAAGAGGTCGTCGGCAGTGGATGGAACACTCTTCACACACTGTAAAAGTCGACGTCGTGCAGTTCTCGAGCCGGTAAACGAGAAGTCCTCGACCTTCTCGTGTTGAGTTCAAGACCTATCAACAGGGCGAAGCCTAGCATGAACGAGTTGAAGTTCCTTTTTCTACCTGCGCGGGGCGTTGCTTCAACACGCCATCAGCGGCTCCCTCCTATCTAACCCTCAGGCAAGAACAGCCTCTCAGCCATTTTGTTATCATGAACAGCTCGAACAGCAAGGGCACTGCCTGCTCAGTAGGACGCACCATGGACAGGCAGGGCAGCCCCTCATCAACACGATCAGCTGCAATGCGCCTGGCGGAGATGGCCCGCTTCTGGTCACCCAACAATGCCAGACAAGCCCGTGAAAGAGCAATTCCAGCAACGCAATCAGCTCAACAGATGTTGCATACCCTCCGCCCCTCTCCACTTCCACCGCCTATGAGTCGCAGCAGAACTGCGGTGTCATGTGGGTCACTTGTTCCTCCTGGCTCGACGCCGTCGCCACAACAAGCAGAGCAGCAGGCTCAACCAGGCCCCCACCAACCTCATGCTCAGGTTCTATGGCGTTCCATGACTCCCTCAACTTTCGTTTACAGTTGTTACCGCCAAAGACAGATGACAGCACGTCCAGCCAGCACAGGCCCCAGACTGGTACCAACTAGAACCATCGAAGTGGACGGGCAACCGACGCAGGCGCGGCCCCAGCATCCGTCGCAGCCGAGCAATACCAACTCTGGCCTGTGGCCTGGTTCATGGGCCATCCTTGCAGACAGGAATCGCGAGTTTATATCTCCCCAGCATCACGCATGCCCTCCAGTGCAACTGGCGCAGCGCAGTTACCAGTTGCCGTGCGCTTCTGGTATGGAGGGAAGTCCTTCCATTCAAAGTCGTTTCAAGGAAGATGGCAGACCTCCGTTTACCTTGTATCCAGCAGCTGTAGCGAGAGAGCATTGTACCCTCCCTCTCCGGCAACGGCCTGCCAGAGGCAACTCCCCTGGGCTCCAATGCTGGCGACCACACTCCGTGCCTCCCCAGGGCTCTAGTGATTTTCGTCTCGCTGGCTCCCCCAACAGCCTCCATCCCTCCAACGTCTCTAGAGCAAATGTTGGGAGGGGTGTGCCGCGTCTTTCGCCTGCTCAGAAGCCCCAAAAAATGAAGGTAGAAGTCAACGTAAGCCGGTCTGCCAGCACGCCGCCAGTTCCTGTCCGCCAGTTCCCCAGCCTTGCTAGTCGTTTCTGGTCGTTCTTCCGTGGCTTAAGAGAACAAACAGTAGACTGTGAAAGGGAAGCTGATAAAAAAAGAGTTGAACATGCAAGGGCTTTTCCGAGCGACAACCTCCCCAAAGGGCGCCACCCCGTCCCTACAGTGAGATGGGCGCATACACCCCGCGGTTTCCGCCATCAGGTTGAGCAAATACGGGGAAAGAGCCAGCAGCCAACTCAGCATCCACAAACTGTGAATTCACCTGGATCCCGTCCCCCATCCCCCAACCTGAATCTTCGACAAGGTCCCTGCTGTCAATCCTCAGTGAGGCTTCCGCAGGCTGACGTGACGGGATACTTCGTTCCCAAGCAGGATGCTGGTGCACTAGACAGGTCGCCAGATGCCCCTGTTAACCAGGAACAAAACAGCCGAGACATTTCACACGAAGTACCACAGCAGCAAAGAATTCGCCACTCCGGCTGTCACCTGCAGCTTCCGAAGGCTCCAGCCCAGCAAACTCTCCAGCTGCCACAGCTGCAGAAGGGACATCTTCTCTGGCAGCAGCAACAACTTCTGCAACAGCAAAGAGAGGTTCTCCAGCAGCAAAAGGAAAGACTCATGCAACAGCAGGCCTGCTGGAAACAGCACAGGCAGAGGACACTGCTGCAGAGTAGATGCCCGCCTGAACAAACTGGGAAGATCTCGGAACAGCTCAAGAACTCACGACAACTCCCAGGGCATAACAAAGAATCCTCCACTCCAAGCCATTTGCAAACAGGGGATATATTCCCCCCTCCGAGTAGTTTTGTAGATTCAGAAGCCTCATTACTTCGAACTAGTGAAGCCCTTGCAAATGAGCACACTGGTGCCCATGGTGAGGTGCAGCAATCTCAGAGAGAGCCGCTGGAAACCCCCATGACTGAATGTATGGAGCACAAGCCCAATCATAAAAGACCTGCCGGAGTACAGAATGCTTCACCGCGACTGAAATGGGAAGTCAGCGAGAGTGCTGAAGCTCCTAGTGGCTCCTCAGGTGGGCCGGAGTTTGCCGTGGCAGAGAATAAGAAGTTGCAGTTCACAGCGGTTGGCGGAAGCCTCGAACAGCGTTTGCAGCTGAGGTGTGAAGTAATCGGAGACCCAGTCTGTATGTTTGCCAAATCAGCATTGTTTAGAGGGACTCCTACTACTGAGCACGATCCAGTTGATGCAGGATCTGACATGCACACAGATTCTACAGCTGAAATGAGCGACAGCCTATCCAGAGAGCAAAGGACGGATTCTCTTGATTCTCAAATTTCAGCTGAACTCCAGGGGGCTGGGGACTCTGTAGCTGCAAATGGCCAGCGCCTGACTCCAGATGGATCTGCACCAACCGTGCTGCAAGATGGAAATAAACGAGATGCTGGAAACAACGAATCAGATGAAGCGCAAGCTACTACTGAGCACAAGACAACAAGCTTACAGCTACGGAAAAAGCTCATCTGGAATCCGAGACTACGCTGCCTCCCCCAGGATAGATTCAAGATCGGTCCCCATGATCTTATCCCGGTAGGCCCACTGATAGCCGCGATGTCAACAACAGGATGCAGAGGATGGAAGGATAAACCCTGCATGACAGCTGACGACTGCGCGGAGGACTCTAGTTACATAGAGGCATACTTACCGATAAAATCTCTCGCAGAATTCGAAAGCTTCGAAAAGGGCCAGGATGCTCACGATATGTTAGATGTACGCCGAGACGTGGTTGGCTGCGGGACCTACGGCATTGTTAGGAGGCTAAGGCATAGGAAGGGCGGGTTCACAGTCGCCGTCAAGAGCATTGAGAAGGAGTCTGTGGTGCAGGCTGGCATGGTGAACCAAGTGGAATTCGAGTTATACGTGCAAAGGGACTTGTTACGGCATCAGAACGTGCTGCGGTGTTTCTCATGCGTCGAAGACGCTGAATACCTCCACATAGTGTTGGGGTACTGTGAGCAGGGGGATCTCTATCGCCGTATTCGTGAGCAGCCTCATCGACGCTTCACAGAGCTTGAAGCCTTCTGTTTCTTTGCTCAACTGGTCAATGGCCTCCACTGTGTTCATGCCAACGGCATCATCCATAGAGACTTAAAGCTTGAAAACTTGCTGCTAACCAAACGGAATGTGCTAAAAATTGCGGACTTTGGATGGTGCGGGTCCATTGTGGGTCGCAACCGAAGCTTCAGTTTCTGCGGAACGCTAGACTATCTAGCTCCTGAAATGGTCAAAGGGCAAGGACATGACTGGCGTGTTGACTTATGGAGTTTGGGTAGGCTTATGACAGCTTCCCAGTGCTTCACGCCTCTAGTGGGCGTTCTTGAGCTACCCTATATGCATTTTATTGTGGCAAGATGCTACTTTCATATACAACTTTCTGTTTCGTTCAGCGGCCATCCTGTGTCCCAGTGTTCTGGTTAAGGGATAAACAGCATGTGTTCAACGGTGTTGCCATCTGCGTGTAGGAGTGCTTCTCTATGAGCTTTTGGATGGGCGCCCTCCTTTCCAGTCAACAAGGCACTTCGAGCTCGTTCAACGAATCGTGACAGTGGATATCAGAATACCCAGCGTAGGCATATCACATACGTGCAGCTCTCAGTGGCTGACACGAAACTGCAGCTCCTCTCAGAGGCCGATGCAGCATCCAGTTCTTCATGTGCCGTGCAGTTTGTGTCTTTGAATTCGCAGCATATGAAGGAGGATGCTGCAGACTTAATTAAGGGGCTCCTCAAATATAATCCGAATGATAGATTATCATTGGTTGGTAAGGGAACGCATTCACAGAGTGCCCTACAAACTTTCCAAACACCTTGAGTTGGTAGGCTGCACCTGTTGAGTGGCTGTATTAACATGTATTGGTTCTAGGTGCTGCCCTTTTGCGAGTGACTCAGGCGTTGCTCAGCATCCGTGGGTACTTCGAATGTGGAAGGAGCTGCAATTGCACCTCCTGCGAAAAGATCCTACTTTGGACCTGGAAGAATTGGTATCCGTTTCTTCGGCCACCGATTGTGATGTTGAAGCGGAACTTTCACCGCGTTCTGTCCCACCCGGGAATTGTGCGCAGACAGGCCCCCAGCAAGTAGTAGAACCCGGAGGCTCGTTGAAGAAAAGCGCTGTCTCTAAGGGATCGGTTGCAGCGGCCAAAAGTAGTGTATCACGTTTTGCAACCAGATTATCGGCTGTTTCAAATCGCCAGTGTCTTGCTGCGGAAAGGGCGTCAAACTTTCGCTTATTAGGCAACCGGAGGTGTAACGGTAAATTAGACATTGATGCTGTCTCTACTGAAGGCTGCAGGCAAAGGCTGAATTCATCTCCATCGACAGAAACAATAGCAAAGAAAGGCTCATCTACTCTCAGGAACGCTCATACCGGCCCTTGTCCCCTACCGCGTCGCAGGACGCTCCCAAAAGCCACCCCACTCCCAACGCAAGCCCGCACTATTCGATGTGCAAACAAAGTCTCCGGATCCGAACGTACACACGCGACAGAGGGCGCTGAAGCATCAGAGGCGCATTTAATATCGAGAAGGAACGCATCCAAAGGACGGCCCACACCCACAGCGCAGAAGAACAGGTGCCGAAAGGCACTTCTAGTTGACCAGTCTTTTGGCATGCCGACTGCAACGTGGACGACAGAAACGCTGATACCCAGCGTCTCTCAGCAGGAGAACTCGCCTACACCATACACACTGGCAGGCGTGCCTGCTAGCAGGCACGCCTGCAGGCAGCAGCAATACCAAGATAGTGTAGAGAGAGCAAGACCTGCCTCAAACCACTCGGCAAAGCAGCTAGGTCATGCTCCTTTCCATCGGCAGGCCGAATCTTGCTCCAGTGGAAACGTGCAAGAGCGAGATGTAGGAGATATCCAATCTCACGGGCCATGTCCCCGTCAAGGCGTGGACTTTCAAGATACACTGTCAAGTGACGAACCGGTGAATTGCTCCACCGGAGTTCCTGCGGATGCGGACCCTCATGCAGCTTATGACGCCACGTCGTTGCCGAGTGTGAAGAAACTGCGCAGCGTATCTGCAAGTCCCAACGGTTGTGGACGTGCCGGTGCTATACTTCGGTTAAGGTCGACGCCAAACAAGCACCAACTTGAACATGACACAGCGAAGGCGTTGGGTGTACCGTATTGCTGCCTGCGAATACGATCGGGAGCTCCCTATGGACTACCCAGCCAGCAGCTTGTGGCTTCACATCCAAACGCAGAAAATGTGGTGGATTCTCATCCCGTAGGAAGCAAACAACGGACCGTCTCGAAACTGGCGAAATCGTATGAGTGTCCAAGCTTGAAGAACAGTGGTTTGGACGCGCAGCACTCATCGCAAGCATCTAGCATGAAATGCCACTCACAAGAAATCTCTAAGGGCCAAGTGCCTGGACAAAACAGCAGTTACAATGCATCTCAGCAAGTTGCCGCACTCAGGGACAACCCAAAGCCATTTCAGCAAAATACAGGAAATGATCATTCAAGCGTCCAGTGGTGGAGAAAGATATCAGAATGCCCAACGCCTGCACATCAAGGAACTACTCCTGCCGGACCTGGCCGATCAGGGTCGTACATCCCCTTCCAAGTACTCCCCAAGCAACGCCTTGCGAACTGTGTAGGGGGCATTCCGGCAATGCAGCACTTACACCCCCCTCTGCCGACAGCGAAGATGCCTGAGAATACACTGCTCCATTCTACAATACTTGCAAGTGGCCAAGGCCTCACGGGATCTGAGCAGCCGAAGGACTCACTGGAAACTGCAATACGGCTGCCAAACGAAAAGCATATGATGGGTAGTGCTCAAGTCGGTAGACTTCCGGTTATCATTTCCATGCCACAGCCGGAAAGCATGAAATTCGTGAGTAGTCCAAGTTCTTTGTTTAGATAAAAGAAATGAAAAGAACCAGAAAGGGGTGGGGTGTGTAAGCTGCGGCGTTGTCAGTAAATAATGGTGTTTCAATATCTGTCCATGTTTTCCAGGGTCCGCATTCAGCTGTTTTGTGTGGGTAGTGAAGGTCAGTTACATAATAGCTCATGCTTGTCTGGTACCGATTGAGCTGGCATAGTTCAATCCTTTGCTGTGGAGTGGCTGGGACGAAATGGCATCTCGCTGCAGCAGCAAAATACCACCTTTGTAAGTATTGATTTGGTCCTCGAAATTGCCCATACAACTTCGGGGAACTCCCTTTCTAGAGGCCCTTAACTATGACTGCTCCAGCTCACAAACAAATGAGCTTGGCAAAAGAGTAGCTTTTCCAATACATTTCCCGTTTTGTGGTAGCATTTACTTCGGCGACAGCGATACAAATTGCAACTGTGGTGCTATGGGCACGATCTCTGTTGATCAGCTGTGCTCGCACTATGGGAGATGACTGTGATCTACCAGGGTGAGTTGGCTGGAGGTGGGACGTTGCTTCGTTCATCATATATATACCAGCTTCTGCACTGTAGGGGGAGTCGTCGGGATGAAATATCCCATTGGAGATGCTGTCTCACCGCAGCTGCCACACGAAGATCTGCTGTCTCGGTGCCAAGACAACCAGTATTCTCTAGTAACTACCGTACGCTTCTACATCAGCAGCATAGACAGAATGGCATCTAAGCATGGGTGCATGAATGCCGTCGAAAGGAGGTGAAGCACTGTTCAAAGAAGTGCTGTGGATCTTCCACTGCTCTTCTGGTACTTCTTTGACGAGTGTTTCACCTCAAGTTGCTAGGACGTATTCACAGGAATAAATAGAAACAATTAATGCTGACCCTGCTGCACAAGGCACCTAGGGTTTGGTGGATGGATATAGCTGCGGATGAGAAGCTAGCCTTGAACTTGAACACAGGCTTATGATTAAGCTTGCAGCTGTTTAAATGAGCTACTCGAGTTTATACTGCAGTTATCTGTCAGTAGGACAGCAGATGCTCACTGTAGCACCACTGCATCAATGCCAGGGCCGATGGAAACAGTCGGGGGGTGCGGACGGATACATTTTACTGCATAAAATTATGCAGTTGTGGCAAGAGAAAAGCCTTACACTTCGTCGATTTGTGGGCACTGCAGAGGTGTGTTGCCACTGCAACGTAACAGACCTCCTGGGACGAGCCGTTCATCAGCCGGCTGTTCTCCTCACAGAAGCGCAAAACTCAAGGGCACTGAGGGACCTCGCACACAAAACGCTCTCCGCATGCAACACTTCGGCACTCGAGCTTTCCACAAGCCGGAAGTACTCCAGTCAGTCATTAGTTTGCGAGCAATGCGTTTTGTGGTAGTTACTGAACTTCCAACTCTACCTACAATTGACCTACTCGGAATTAGTGTGGGACGTGAACACTGGGTAGTTTTCAGCTCTGAGACCGTTGAGAGCTTCAAGCGAGCCAAAACATGTACCGTGAAAGTACCCAACAATAGCAGGCAGGCGGCCTCTATTTCTGTTTTCAGGTGCCGTAAGCACAGGAGCGCTTGTCCTGTGCTACGCGGTTCCTGGGCCTTTGAGTCAAAGAGTCGTCAGCTGCTAGAAAATATAGCTTCTTGTGACACTAGTTCCAAAAGCATCTAAGCTCATCCCCAGAATCCATGTGCCCTGACCGGGCGGTGTCCCACAATCCAGGCTCTGGTAGTGGAGCAGGTGGCCACCTTTCCTAGCATACAGCACTTCTCGCTACAGTCGGTGTCTAACGGCAAATCCCAACTCCCCTTTTGATACTAGCATTGTAAACAGGTCTTTACCAACTGCTCAACAACTGTGAACCCGTTGAAGTAACAACACGGCACTTACTTACCGCCGGGACAGGCTTCTGTGTTCCGGTACACCCAATAATGTGATGATTGAGGGCTCTTTATGAGTTTATACAACATTATAAGTAGTGTTAAGGAGTACACTGGCCCCGCAACGCTATGAGAAATGAGACAGAGGCATTCTTAGTGAGCCGAAAACCAGAAAATGTGGTGCAGAAGCGTGTGGAACAACGGTAGAGTGGAATATATCTGTTCCCCTTGAGCATTCATGGAGCCCAATATTTATGTCTCTGGCACTATAAGTGTTCTAGGGGGAATTCGTGTCATTTTACGTTGACTCATAGCTGTAGTTGCATATACACTCGACTCGCGTCCCGCACACAGTGTGATGGCGTTAGAGTATGGGATCACTTGCTTGCACGGGATCACGCCTCTGCAAATCCTCCCTAGTTTCCTGCTTGACTGATGCCAGGACAGTTTTTATTTTAGATCCCTTTTGCGCTGGAGAGCGGGGAACTCCGACCTAAGGGCTGCAGCCACGAAGGGAACGCCGTTACAACTTGTCCGCTGTGTACCCGAACCTGCAGGCGAAACCGACTATTCGTCAGCATTGCACCTCCATTGATAACTCATGGTATCTGTTTAATATATTCCATGGATATGGAGGTACTGGGGACGGGGCAGGCTACCGCTGCCGAAGCTTCAGAGCAACGGTACCTCAACGTGACGGCGCACCGGCTTTATGTACTGCGGCAGCTACAGAAAGGCTTAAGAATGTTTTGCGGTACTCCATATGTTGAGGAGATTCCAAGCGCCTCTTCTGTTGGGATCTCTGCTGATGTAGCACACACTCCATTTATGGAGCTGCAGCAACAGCAACAGTCCTTGGTGAGTGGACTGTACTGGACCCTGTGCTGTCTCGCAGTGCTGCAACCACGAGTTACACTGTCCTTGTCATGTCAAGAGGGGCACCATCCAGAAACGAACTTAGTGCCTCTTCCGCCGAAAGTGAAGGAGGACCTCATTTTCAAGGTCATCCTCTCTTGTCTCCGCAGGAGGCAGTGTACAGGATGGGCTTCAGCAGCTCCAGAAGTAAGGTCCCCATTAGGGCTAGCCGAGCGGGGGGAAGAATATGGAGGGGGCATAGATAAAAAGGCGTCACAAGGGACAGTCATGCCATCAACTGCAGCTGCAGCTTCACTAGAGGCGAAATCTCATCTGCACTGCGATCGATCAGCCATTGGCTTCAGCAGTAACATGGCCGAGGGTGCAACAGCTACAGCTCTCTCCACTTGCAGCGGCCTGCAGGCCTTGGCCCTCTTGGACGCCCTCCCTCTTCTCTCAGAAGGAACCCTGCAGCAACTCCGACGTTTCGTGTTGTCTCTACAGAGGCTAGAGGATGGAGCATTTGCAAACACACTACATCGCCGCTGCTGGAGCAACTTGTGCAGCTCCTGCAGTCACTCAACAGCAGGAGCACCGGTTCCGACGGTGCCAGCAGCAGCAACAACAGAAGAGGTGGAGTGGGAAAGTGAGGGGGACGTGCGTTCCACTTTCTGTTGTCTCCTCAGCCTGAAGTTGATACACGCGGCTGTTAAGGCTCGCCATAATCGCAACGCCGCGGTTCCTGTGCCTCATTCTGGTGCACTTGCTGCGCGTGCTGTTGGTAGTGCCGCTGAAGAAGACTCTGCTGCTGTCACGCCAGAGGAAATCGCTGGTGAAAAGCCTGCTCCATTCAGAGAGGGACCTACAGACCCCGACCCATGGCAGGTACAAGAACTTGATGAGCCCCTAAATGGAGTGTCTTGGCAAGCTTTCATACAGGATCCGCTTGCTGGCGTACGTGTTGATGAGACGATTTCTTGGCTGCTCTCTCTTTTGGGCCCAGACGGTGGCGTGGGTGTCTCACCTGGTGCTGAGCCACATGCGGGCGCCGCCTTCTGCTTTGCTGGTTGTTTGTCACTTCTAAAAAGTCGGAGTGCTTTGGGGATGGAAGAGGCGAGAAGACTAGAGAGGCAAGATAAGCTGCCATGCACTAACATGCTGCACCATTGTAGCTGCTGCTGAGGTGACGCTTCTGTCTATTGGTTTGGCAGCACCAGCCGATGCAACTCTTCGACTTGTAGGACCCTAAGATTGCCTGTTGTATGCGGCTGCTCTTATTGCTGCAGATGGCTAAGGGAACGTCAGCTCCCAGAAGGGCCTTTGCATGGCCGCCCTGGAAAACAAGGTGACAGCTGCTACACCTTCTGGGTGACCGCTGCGCTACTGCTGCTCGGCAAGGCGCCACTGAAGGTGCTGCAGTCAACAGCCCTTGCTGTTGCTGTTGCTGCTGCGCAGCATCCTTCTGGAGGCATTTCGCGGGCTTCCTCGTTCTTCCACTCGCCAGCACAAAAGGGTTGCGTGGCGAGTGCTGCCTGTGAGGGTTGCACGGAACCATCGAAGTCTACGAATGAGAATAACGACGGCAACAGCAGCGGCATGTACAACCCATTGAGTATGCTTGGTACGGGCCCGCTGGAGTCCTCAGAGAAACAGTTGCGTTGTCCCGACCCGTTCCACACATTTTTTGCCTTGGCGGGCCTTAGTTTGCTGGCTCACGGCTGGAAAGAAGAAACGAAGCAACTGGAGCTGCAACAGCGGGAACCGCAGCAAGAAGAGCAAGAGCACCAAATCCAGCAGAATCTCCAGTGGCAAGCGACCTGCAGACAGCTTCTGCAGCCATTGGATCCTCAGACGGCGCTGCCGCTGCAGTTGGCTAATAGTCTTTAGACATCTTGCGTTTGTTTACTGCGTTCATCTGCCCTACGTTGTCAGGTAAGTGGACTTTCCATGCAGGTGCTGCTGTAGCCATGTGGCAGGGACTCATGCGGCGCCAACGGTGGCAGTCGCCATTGCATATTCAGTGGAAGACAGTCTCAACGTTATCCGACGAGGAGCAAATAACAAGCCATTCTACCATACTGTGTGTTTGTTGGTTGGATGCGGATTTTGCATTTGCTTGGACAGCTGCCACACGGGCCTTTAGTAAATCATTCAAGCGAAGTGCAAGCACTGCCAATTTTTTGGCAACAGCCCTGCAGGACACAAGTGTTTCCTGTGGGGACTCCCAATGTGCGGCATCGTCTGTTCGTTGTATCGTCTGTACACCAGAACACTCCCCTTCTACATGTTGACGTAGCTAATATAAGAGTTTCGTTGAGAGAAGTTGATCTTCCGCCCCAGTCTCGAGGCGTCTTGAGCACAACGGCCCACCAATCTGGAGCTGTGGGAGAAGGTCCGGCCTGGCGTGGGTTGCAATACAGCTTGCTGCAATTTATGCTCCCAGACAGCTACAGATAGGAGCACATCCCAGCCTTTTCCATGCTTGCACTGACGCTGTTGTAGACATTTCACGAAGACTTCTGTTTGCATACCGATGGCCTACGGAGGGCGAGTAAGGCCAGCTTCAGAGAAACTTGCAGACATCGGACAGACTGGGCTTACTGAGGACAGAACAGTCTGTCCGCAGTTGGCTCATACTCAGCATCATTACAGGCTCAACGGAAGCAAAGCCCCACAACACGCTTCTACAGCATTGGTTCATGCAGTCAACAAAACTTGTTTGTGGTCATATTTGGGCTGTCTTTCTGCATAAGGTGCAGCAGGGAGAGTCGCAACTCATCAGGCCGCAGCTTCGGCGAGAATTCCGAAGCTCCAGGCGATGGGGCCACTACGACAAGAACGCCTGGAGACTTGGTATGATGCAAGCAACACTTGCGTAACGCTTACTTGATGTATTTTCTTCTACTGTAGCTCTTAAAATTTGTTAAGATTAGGGGCCAATGCTACCCTGCAAAGGATTCATAGTGTCCCCGGTGGATAACTCAGCACCACTGAATGCTTGGTGTTTTTTTCTACCACCTGAAAGCTGCAAAACTTAGGTGTTTAAACTCCGTTAAGTACGATTCATCCTGCGTAACGCGTGATTTTGGCCATCCATGCCCACCACTGATCGCCATCAAATTGTAGTCTTTCATGTAAAACTGACATCATTGGAGGTCATATTATTCGCTTTAAATTGTAAAAAACATGTATTGTGGTTTAAAACGTCGAAATAAGTAGACTTTTAACTTTGCAGCGCCAACGACCGAGAGTTCTAGCGGTATGCTACGTGTACCGTTAGCGGCAGCATGCCACCGAAAATTTAACGTTGTATGTTACTCATGTGTCTATGCCCCTGTAGTTAAACAGATCCATTCATCACGATGGAGTTCTAAAATAATAAGAACACTGATGAAGGAGCGACGCTCAGCAAATTCAATATTCGCGTGCTCAAGGTTGGCGCACGTGGGTTCGTACAGGCAGGCATGCGCCTCCCGGTGCACGCTTGTCACCCCTCCTTCACCCCACATGAATGTTTCGTACAGGTATCATACAGAAACACGCCCTGTCAGGATATTTTCTTTGTGTCTTTATTATAGTTAAGGTAGGCTTGGGAGATGCTTGTGGATCTCCTGTTTTAGTTTCCATTCAAGGCACCCCAGCGCATTTTTCGTGAAAGCAGAACATTACCCAGGACACCGGGCCACACGGATTCCATCATCTGTTCTCAGACAGCCAGCTTACATAATCGAAAGACGTGTACTTTATTATTGAATGCATGCTACTAGGTCAATTTCGAAGTGGCCTTCGCGTCCCTCCACTGCGTGCCGGTTCACTGTGTTTGGCATGGCGACTTCCTCAGGAAAAGGGACTCTTGCGAAGGTGGCATCACGAAAATGGGTGATATTCAAAGGGGCACCTGCAAGTGGTTTGACTCATTGAAGGTTAGCTAGTAGTAACATTTCCTCCTTACACTGCAGGCCACCACTCCCTTGAGCCCCCAAGTGATTGCCCGCAGCGTTGCTTTGTGAGATTTCTTTTCTCTCAATGTAGGGATTTGGATTTATCACTTCTGAAGACGGGATGGACCTGTTCGTCCACCAGACGGAGATAAAGGCCGAAGGCTTCCGAAATCTCAGTGAAGGAGAACAAGTTGAGTTTCTCGTCCAGACCGGGTCTGACGGTCGGAAAAAGGCCGTGAATGTGACTGGCCCTGGTGGTGCCCCCGTCAAGGTGAGTCCTAGGTACTTACATACATACATTTCTGCCAATGTTCACATGCTTTGAACCGACATGCGATGTGAGTGTGGGGCTCTGATTGTTCAGGGCGACCCTCGCCCTGTCCGAAAGTTACTTCCATCTGGTGGAGGCGGCCGTGGAGGCGGAAGCGGAGGACGCGGTAACGGAGGGTTCAATGGTGGAGGTTATGGACCTGGTGGGGGTAGTGGTTACGGGGGGGGTGGCTACGGGGGTGGCTACGGCGGCAACGGCAATGGTTACGGGAACGGCGGCAGTTATGGAGGTGGGAATGGTGGTTATGCAGGTGGTAACTATGGCGGAAACGGGTACAATGGCTCGAGCTACGGAGGTAGTAGCGGGGGCCGGGGCGGTTATGGGGACAGCAGCAGCAGCCGCGGGGGAGGCGGTTATGGAGGCAGCGGATACGGCGGCAACGGTTACAACAGTTATGCATGATGATGGTCTATTATGGGTCACATCGCCATCGTTATATGCGCTTCTGTAATGTCTCATCTTGGATTTGTTCGGTCCAGCATTTTGAAAATTGCTGGGCCCTGCGTCACCCGCAGCATGGTTCGTGGAATGAAACGGTTGAACTGTGATCCATCAAGACCTCTTGTGCTGTGGACGGGTGTGTGGCTGTTCCTTTGTTCTCACAGACGCATCGCATCTACACCACATGAAGCGTTCTGTCAGGTGCCGGGTGATCCCATTTGAATTCGTTAACGAATCTGTATTATTGGGCATGAAGGATTGACATCAGAGGTATAATTGTTGCCGCATGAAAGGTCTCGCATCGCAACGGGATTGCAGCGTTGACAGTCTCTTCAGCACGTGGGACGAAAAAGTGTTCCCAAGTTGGAGAACTTTGCAACATTTTTTCGTCGTCCCACTGTTTCCTTGATCCATGTTTATGTTTATATCCGGTGGATTTCTGCCGAGAACAAGAGTAGGGAAAGCTTAGCCGCGCTGCCATTTGGGAACGCAGTGTTAGAGTGCGCGTTCGTTTTGGGCATTTTGGATATGTGGGTTACATTTCACTGTGCGCCGCACTAAATTGCGATCTCAATTCGTGGGGATTGACAGGCATGTGCCCAAGCAAATGTACAGGAGCCAATCCTTTATTTAGCTGTTTCATTTGCGTGGCTCCCCACCTTGATTTGCAAGCTCTTGAATGACGTCCTGGGAAAAGCGGCGCGGCGGCTCGTGGACCTTTGTAGAGCGTTGTAGGTTGTACCACGTACCTGAACTATTGATCCTAGTCGCTTATCAGTTGCCGAGGATTGGATGTCCCGGAGCCTCTCAAGATGCCTCGCTGTTGCGGCAGCAAGAGATGCTGTCATGTCGGGGGCCTTGGGAGGAGCTAGCGGCGGCTGGGTACGGAAGGTCTTATTCTTAGATGGAAGGTAGATCATGTGATGAGGATAGACAACCATCCCCCGAAGCGTAGTAGGGCCGGGCCCGATGGGTCCGCTGGCTTTGCTGATTAGAGGAGAAGTCCAGATAATTGGCTGGAGTTTTGGCAAGGCGGAGAACGCGGAAGTGGGGAAGTATGCCTTCAAATATGGCTTCAAGACAATGACGACGACATTTTGAGTAGCCGTTGCTCGTACCTTGCAGCGTCCCTCGAATGCTTTTTTCATGTCAGCGTCGTAGTTCTTGAAGGAGAACCGCGGCTGACAAGGACCCGTGTACGTCGCTGGGGCAACGCAAATCCCCGATTCTTTTTCTTCTAAATGCCATAGGGAAGGGCACGGGGTTGCGTAGTTCCGCTCAGCGACGTCTCTGATTGGCCACGTCGCAGAACACCTCATCATCTGATGTGGGGAACGAGTTTATAGCGACAAGGGGCGGCACTTTGCAACGTGCTGCAATCCACCCACGAAGTCGTATTTTTGTTCATCGCTAATGCCACTGAGATGCTGCATCTTGGCACAGCTTCCTCTGTAACCTTCTGGCGCGTGACACTTAGGCAGCTGGAAGGTGTCTTAAAGAGGCCTTTAATATCCATCCCTAATGCTGGTGCGCGTACCTGCTGAGAAAGCTCTGCGACAGCCCAGCCCAGAGGGCAAGGCCCACCGAAATCATAGTGGGCGAGGAAGTTGGTCGGCCATTGGAATTGGCATCTAGCTGCAACACGCGCTTTTTCTTCACTGGAAGCTCCCCCTGAAACGCGCTGAACGGTTTGATTAGGTATGCCTCAAGGTTCCTGGCCTACGAATGCGCTGCGAAGGGTCGCACGGCCCCACGTAAGAAGGTGGGGCTTCGCATGTTTTGCCGTCGGCTGGGGTGGTAGGATGCTGATCTCTGGTGTTTATGAAGCGCAGCAATTTATTTTCCTCACCCCTTGGCGTCCACATCACAGGACACTGACTCGTCGTGAAATCTGCGTCATATCCTTTGCATGGCCATCGGACGTTACATGCCTTCCCACAGGGGACCGTTTCAGTTTCATGTTGTGAACTAGCAACATATGTATGCGCACCTGAGCCCTGAACATATGAGTTAAACATTGCCCAGCTTGTTGCTGCTGTAGCCGCAGCGGTCGGGATAAAGTACTTACCATAGAGCCTTGGAAGGCTCATCGAAGTCCGTGAATTGCTTTTGAAGGACGCAGCTAAACGCAGGACATCGTTAATAAGAGCGCGTACCAGGCTACAGAATAGTGGCACGCGTAGACTAACTTCCCCTGGTAGTGGGATGGCGCCCTGCAGAGCCCTGCATCATCTGTCCAACTTTCCGGACATGGGTAGCTGGGGCAGAAACCTGTGTGCTCGGACGAGCATGCTCTTGTGTCGTTCATCCAAGCATCTATCCCACCTGTAGTCTTCTTCACATGTGGGGTCGCATGGCCCTGACACGTTGATATAGTACCATCTCGGCATCAATTGTCGGTGTTTTACGTACACGATACTTCACAGCGCCCAGAAAAGCTCTTTTTGGACAGGGGTGTGGCATCTGACGAACAGCATCGTTTACGAGAACATAGTATGTTCCCGCGGGTAAGCGATTACCTGAAAAATCAGCTGTTCGATCACAAGGGCCTGAAAGTCATAGTAACGAAAATCGTCATTGCAGTGAGCTCAAGGATAACACCTGTGTACTCGCGTGGAGCCTGAAAGTGTATGCTTTGGCACCCGAAGAGGACTCTGTCACATAGTTATGCGGCTTGCCTTGCAACTTTTCCCATCCCCTGTTTCGTACCAGCCGCCAGGGCCTGTATTTAAAGTAGAAAAGTTATACAGCCCATGTGCATTGTGGAGCTGCAAGCCAGTGTGGGATGCCTTACACAGCCGAGAGTAGTTCCGCTGAGGGCAGTTATCCAGGTCTGGGTTGTCAAGCGATTCGTTGCGCGAGGCAGCGTCGATTTCCGCTGCGATCTTTTCTCGCACAACTGGACGAGAAAGTTATACTGGTTACATGCACTCTATGTGAGAAGCAAAACGTACGCGAAGAGGAGAGGTTATGCAGAACGCTCAACACGGCTGCAGCAAGCTGATCCGAGAAACTTGACAAGCTGCTGCGATCTTGAGAATCGCCAACCAGTTTATAAAATGAATCGAGCAGACTGTTCCCCGAATAATCTGTTGGCAACCGTTCTTGGGAAGACTCCGGCACTTCTCCCCGTGCGATGCCACACTGTGGCTCCGAATGCAGAATGCCCAACAGAACCAGAAAAAGGTGAACAAGGGAACAGCGGGGCATTTCTTATAAAGTGAGCAGTGGATAGGTGGATTAACCGCTCGTTCCTCAAAGGTCGTCAAATTTTCCCGTGAAAAGCGAATGTGCTTGTGGTCCCACATAAGTACATACACTAGAAAATTGAACTACGAATGCAGAGTCACTAGTGTAGCTAAATGCACTCAACAGCTCCCTTTACAATGCCTCTTTATTATGCGCAGGCGTTCACTTTCCCCCGGAGTGGTAGACATGTGTTGAAAGTATCGACTACTTTCGTCAACAGTCAAATCGCCGCCCACACGACGACGGCATTACCAAGTAATCCAAGGTGTTCTAAGTTGCACAGAGAGAATGAACTTCTGTTACTTGTCACATATTATAATATCTGAAAGAGTCGCCTGTACAAACTTTGAGAAACTGCCACTTGCTTCGACGTTGCTGCATGCGGTGATGACTCGGAGTCAGCTGTTGCCCGAATGTAAAACATGAATATCTTATACTCCTCTTAAGTGGGGCGTACGACTTTATACTGCTTTTTTAACTGCCTCTGAATTACCAGCAATAGAGTGGGTTATACTGCGTCCTGGGATGACCGGCTTCTCGGGGGTGTGCTAACTCCAGCGGCACCTGTTCGGGAATTCCTACTCACTTTCCACACATCTTAGGAAGAACTCGAACATCGCATTATATTAGCAACAGAAAGATATATATTATTAGAAAGAATGAAAGATGGCCACCATCCGCGCTCACAGCGCTTCAGTCGCCTCGCTCAGTTTGCACCGGACTTACGTGGGATTTTTGCATGCTGTTCGCTGCTTGTCTTGTGTGGTGAACGTGAGTAAGCAGCTCCAGGCGAATTCTGCATGCCATGAATATCCCCATGCGCTGTTGGGGAGCTCTTCGCGCATGGAAGTGTCTTGGGGCGGCCCATGCACTGCATCCAGGTTCTTGCATTGCACAGACTTGCGGAGGTTCTCTACGACGGCAGGAGTTCCAGAACAGTGCTGTGCTGGGAGGAAATCTGGTGAGGTTCAAGGGCTGTTCTTTCTTTTCAGGAGAGGCAATTAACCTGCAATGGCATATGCTGCTGCATCGAGGCAGGTTCTTGCCCGCCGTTTCTGGTTTCTGTAGTGTATCCTGTATGTTCTGTTTTTGCGCCTTTGGATTGTAGCTTCCTTTCATGTGCGTGGAATGCATGCGAAGGGGAGCCTGCCTTTCCAAAAGGAATTGGCGAAAACAACGACATCTTGCTCTCCTTAAACAGCTGGGAAACTGGGGCATTATACTGTAATTACTTGCAGAGAAAGACGCAGAGCAAATGCGCGTGAGGCGCCTATTGCAACGTTACCGGATGCTTCGGCCTGAAGATTGCTTGCAACTTTGTGAAGAGCATGCAAAGGCGGGCAGGAGCTTGGTAGGTTGACAAAACCCTGTTGAACTGCATTACTTTTACGTAGTTTGATATTTCTCTCATTACAGCTTGCGTTTAGAAAAGGCTGGGAGCTTGGTTTTGCAAATTGACCTAAAGGCTTTGTAACTTGTGTAAAAAATTGGTAAAGTCCCCAGGAATTGGCGAATGGCTTCCGTAAGTATGGCAGCAGCCGCCTCTCCACCATGTGCAGCGCTGCGCTATTCATCGATCCCATTTGCCCTTTTAGCTGTACTTCAGATGATGGACTGGCGAGCTTTTCGCGCGGAAGGCATGGACGACCGGCTGCAATCCTGGGAGGCAGACAAACGGAAACGAGAAGAACATCTGGAGCGGATGCTGCGGCTGAGAGATATACATAGGCCCGCACACTTGCGCCGACGCAAGCAGAAAGTTAAGCGGGTTCAACAGTCAGAGGAGCAGACACCTGCAATAGTGTAAGCAGTTAAATCCTCCCATGGACGGAAGCAGACAGGAATTGCACGTTGCTTGTCGTCTGGCGCAGTTTTCGAGAGCAACACACCTTCAATGCCCTGTTTTCATATAATTAAATGTTTAGGACCGCAAACTTCACAGAAGAAGCGCAAACCGTCAGTTTAATTGAAGATGTTTACAAGGCCGAAGTGTACCAGGAAGTTTGCGCGAAGCTTGATGAACAGTGGGGCCTTCCTGTGAGCACCCACAACAGTCCACGATAGCCGATTAGGGGACATATGCTGGAGCCGAGAAATGAATTTACATGAGCGTCACTCGGCGTTACAAACAGTCGTCGAAATGAGCTGTGGAGCTGCACTGCGAGTTCCCAAGCTTATTTCCCGGTCCAGTGTGCGGTCCCATCTTCTCATCTTTAGGATCATCTGAGTGACCGGTTTGTGGACATACTGGCACAAGCTGTTCGGCATGATCTTATGGACCAAAGGCAAGCTCATCTGAGTTAAATTTGCGCATGCATTTATTCCCTGTATATCGCTGTGCAAATGGCTCTGTTGGTGCAGTTACCATAGCCCCTTGGGCCTTGACAAGCAGATATGAACTAATCAACACTTTGGGCCTGCACGCATTTATATTTGGCTATTCCATGGGAGTCACGGGCTGGTGAAACTTGTGTATTAACTGCTACAGTCGTCCCACGCTTGTGAATGAGTTCACGGACTTTGATAATCCCTACATGTTGAAGCGAGAGGCAATCAAGAGGCTGCTGGAGGAACGCGGAACACGAAATGCGCTTGACGAATCGATGGTTAGTCGTTCCCGGATTCATCAACAGGCCTTCTGATGGAGGTTTCCCGGAAGCTAGGGTGTTCCTTATGGCTTCTGCGACCAGATAATTCCAGTGTGAACGCAATCCTAATTCATGCATACTGCGCTTTGTCTTTTTAGATTTGATGACATGTGGATCAGTTTTTTAGAACCCTCGCCTTAATGGTCATGATTTTGATTTCAGATTGACGAGTATTTGGATAGGCGCCCTGACCTGGTGAAGCTACGACTTCGTGTGAGTTCTCAACAGCGGTATTTGGACGTGGCGAGTGGATGCTACTGCTGTTAATGTTGTATGCCACAGGCCCTAGGGGGCTCAGTGATTAGTATTTAGGGTTGGGTAATTGTTTGGCACGCGGCAGGTCCCCAATGCAATGCTGGCCACTGCCATGAAGGTAGCTTTGGCTCTAAATTGCTGCTGTGTGCCCGGAATATTTGCCATCAGTTGCGCCAATCTATTCAATCGCGCCAATCTACTCTGGACTTTGCAATGAGCTTGTCTGGGCTGGTGCGCTTGTCAGGCGAAACTTCCTCCAGAGGTCATTGAGCCCTTGGCTGCATTTCACGGCCTGACGAACTACAACTTCGACAAGCGCACGCGCTTGCAGCAGAAGGTCAATGCAATGTTCAGAGCCGTCGATGCTGCTCACTGCGGTATGCAGGTGCATGTGTTGTTCGTGATATTTCCCCGTCCCTGTCTGTATGCCCCTGAAGCAGATTTACTATATCTAGGCAGTTGACGAGACCAGTGCAATCGCGTAGACTGTTGGTCACATGCAGAATTGGACGTACTCCTGGGGAGCCTGGAGGAGAATCAGCGCTCCGACATGTGAGTCCACAGTGCACACGCTTCGAAGGGCATCGCCTTCCCTCCTTATTAACTTCTGCCGTAATTATTTTCATTATATGCTGCCTACCCCTTCCTTGCACAGGTGGTTGAGGCCCGTCGATAATTATTTTGCGTTGTTTAAATGCACTGGTGTGGCAGGAAGCACGAATTACATCCCTTTCGGAACCACTTCGGCTTTGTGTCGGCCGTTCCAACTGGTACTGTAGGCTCCATTAAGATGGGGCAAGAGCAGTGCGGTACGGACAAGGAGCTCAGGATGATTCGGTAGGCTGAAAAGTGGATGCTCGATGGTCGAGCATTCAACCGTTTGCTAGACAGGAACAGTTCTTTGTGCAACGATGTGGCTCGCCGATGAGTGGAGGGGGAAAAGATAACGCATTTGCTGTCAACAAACCAGAGTTAAGCTAGAACATGCGTTCTGAGATGGGTGGACTGCTGCGCTCAGGTATCCCACGCTGCAGCGAGTGGCGCACACGCTGCCGAAGGATCCGAAATGTCAGGCTTCACATTATTTGGAATATAGCTACTCGTAATAAATTATTTGTGAAGTTTGTCTGGATTGCTCAGTACCAATTGCCGGAATGGTGAAGCTTTTGGTAAGATGTCTCAATACACCGCCGTGCCCGTGATCGCGTGGTTGCGCGTTCTGCAGATCGCGCTATAGTTGCACATGCTATTCGCGTTCTTGAACGGTCGCCAGGTTGGGACTTCAAGGATAAAGTGAAAGTGAGTACAGGGAAAGCTAACAGGTGGTAATGCGGAATTAGTCGCACTTGTGACTGTCATGGCTTTCATTCCTGCTGCGGATGGCATTAGGCGATCAACACTCTGGTTGAAGTCTACAATCACCTCCCGCCCAGCGCGACGTACGCCCGCAAGCTGGATGAAGCTTTTCCAGTCTTCAGGTAAGATTGTGATTCATGGAAAGAGCGCCTCGTGTGCCGTTGAATAGAACTTAATGTTTTTGAGTTTCTTTGGAGGTGTGGATAAGTGCCCTGAAGTATATCTGGGGTTTATGCGTGCTAACCCTGCGGTGTAGGGCGCCGGGGATGACAAGGTACACAAAGACGAGGAATTCGGTCTTCTGTAGGGGGTTAAAATACATCAGATCCCTCACGACGCAAAAGCCACTGGCTATGCGGCTTTCAAAGAAGAAGTAGCGCCACCTTAAATGGCTGATAAATCAACCGGGCTCAAAATGTTTCGTTTGCTTGGTGATGGAACCAAATGCAGAACAATACATATTCACGAGACCTAACTCCTATATGAAAAGGGAAACACAAAAGGCAGTCTTCGCCCGCGAGCATGCAAACGATGCCTTCAGAACCTGTCGCGCGGTTAAGCAAAAGCTCAATCTGTCCTGCAGTACTGTATCCTGTATCAGCTTTCAGGGTTTCGCGCTTGATGATTTCCGCCACCACCCAGCGGTCCTCTGGGACAAAGGGGTGCAGCGCGCAGGTGAAATTTCTTGACCAAAGCTGGGGGGTGCTTTGTTCTGTTTATTGCATTAGTCGTTTCCTCTAGCCTTTTTTTTTATTGCATATTTTCAACCCGGCGGTGAATTACTAAGCTTCCAGGGAGTCGGAGTATTGTTGGGTAGTTTATACTCTGCGACTACTACACGTTTCGGAAAGTTGCTTCAGGGCACCTCACTGCCCTTGCGTGTTGCACTACGCATGTACGACCAGCAGATTTGGACGCAAGCCAGTATTTTGCTGCCCAGTCAGCAGTACACGCTCCATTGCTCCGAAGTCCGTACGGCGCCCGGTTGGAAGCAAAGCTCTCATTGGTCCGACTAGGTTGCAGTCTGTATCAACCTTCCTAGTTAGTTGTCTTCGTACCAGGAAGTAGTGATGTAGGGGAGATGAGCTTTTTGGCCCTCAGTATTAGCAGTTAGGGAAGTGTGCAGATGCTCGTGTCGCCCGAAGCCGTTGCTGGAGGAGTTATGCTGAAATCTACCAAAGAGCTTCCTATTTGCAATAATAAAACAAGTGTCTGTTTGCATAGTTTGTTTAGCCGAAAGGATGCAACTTCAGGTTGGGGCTTCCCTGCAATATGAATTGACCAGACCACCGGCAGTCATTTTCAGGCTTGGATTCCTTCTAAGTAAATTAGCAAAAAAAGAGACTTCGCAGCGTGAAAGACCTCTTTCTGGCCAACATTACATTGCTGGGGGCATTATCCACTTGCCAACCAGTGCGCTGGTGGTCGTCGGTTGAAGTGGTACCACCACCCCAGCATATTCGGAACTGAAGACCATTCAAGTGGAAGACTGTGTACTTTTTTTCTGCTTACTGAATATGACTCTTTAATTGTTTTGGTTTCTAAAACCCGATTAGACTTCGCTGTTGAGCGTGTCGCCACCTTGCAGTGACCCGCTACTCCGGCAGTCGCCAATGCCACACGTACCACTTTGCCCGTTCATTGGCAAAAGCTAGCATATTTGAGTAATTCTGCTGCATTAGTAAGTCCATTATCGGCTGTGGGAACGTTTTGGTCGGTTGCCTGCAGAGTTTCCTATAGATCACCCACGTGCAACAGCGGAAGACTAGACAGATAGGCTTTCAGCATCTCTAGTTGACGGGAAATTGACCTCTTGCAGTCACCGCATTTACGTCATTTCGAAGGCGAAGTTGAGGATATTTATAGCTCCCCTGCAGCAGCTTTACCCAACTAGGCTTCGGTCAACTGCTCCCCTTGGAGCAGGAGTGGCCCATCAGTTGCCCTTTTTGTCCAACACTAGAAACAGCGTTCTGGAAGCAACTTCCACCGACCATCTATGACGCAGGCTGAGGATCAGTTATAGAGGCTAAATGCGTGGCGTTAGAGGGCCCTACGTCGGCCTATGTACATTGGTACGCCAGCTTGCTGGAACTCGCTTCATTGGACCCTATGGGGGCCTGCGGTGCAAAGCAACTCAGCGGAGCTCGTGGTCTAGGTACGTCGCCACTAGGTCAGTTGCACAATGTCCAGTAAAAGACTCGACCCCATCAGCAATATGCACCTAAATTTAAGCAAGCAGGGCATGCAGCTCATTGCACTCACGTTGCTCTACCTATGTGACCCGGTGTAAACTTTTTAGACGCTGGCGATGACACGCTTGGGGGTAGCACGGAGAATACGGAGCCAAGAGAGGTGGCGAGGCCAAGTGACAAGTGTAATACGGACAGAAACCCTGCTTCCGCTCAAGCAACTTCGTCTCAGGGTTGCCGGAGCAGGCGGAGCACGGTCTCAGAGGGTTCAAAGGCGTTTCCGCTTCCACTGCACCAGCATCGGGTGCTCTCACAATTAATGAGTGTTGGAGTGTGTGGATTCCAAACTTTGACAGTTCCAGAGTCTCAACCCTATTTAGCCGAGACAGTTCACCCCAGCCTTCTAGGCCGGTTCTACCGGCCCAAGAACGTTACTTTCGAGTCAAGCATAAAGTTGAACGTGACGGAAGGAGTTTCTCCATGGATACTAGGCACTCCAGGTGGCGGTAGCGTAGGCTCCAAAGAAAGCTCTCAACCGGGTCTCTCAAATGCCTCCAAGCCTTCAAGTCTACGCGTCGCGGGCACTACGGATGCCGGAGCATCACCAGAAAGTACTCGCAGTAGCGGTAACCCATACCAGCGTGAAGAGAGAGGAGGGGCTTATACTGTTCAAAAATGTTGTAGAATTGACTATTCGAAGTGGAGAGAGCTGCGAAAATCGCCAACATGCATGCTGCCGTTGTATCCACAGCGAAACTCACCGCTAGCACCGTGGAGCATCTCGCCAACGTTAAAAACCGGGCAGACCAAAATCCTTTGCGTTTCGACAATATCTCCTGACCTTCCTCAGTTCAACTTCGAGGTACGCATGATCTGCCGTCAGGCACCATATTGCTTCAAAGGGTCCAAAGCGGTGCGTAGGTATTGGAGGCACTTGCGGCACAACAAGAAGCCAAGACGATGGCAAGTCGTCTTCTTACAACGTGTACTGAGTGCTTCGTTTAATAGTAGAGAGTGCTGGATACCACTTGCAGCTTAGATGCGTATATGTTAGCTTAAAATCAACAGTTATGCTTTTATCCGAAAGCTCCGCAGATGCTGGACTTCTTCAGGAGAAGGCAGTTCAGATTACAGGAGCCGATTCACCCGTTGCGCTTGAAAAGATCGGGGTCAGCGTCGTATGTAAAAAGGGTTACAAGCCAACCTGCCCGAACAATGACGGGTTCTTTGTTTCACAGTGAGTGCAACTTCGTTCTACCCTCGCAGGTTTACTGGTTGCAAGCAGACGGAATTCAGTGCATCACAGTGTTAGCCCACCACTCAAACCCTTTTCGCGGACTGATTGCATCTGGGATTGTTGTGTCTGCCTTATCTGTATGCTAATATGCAGTGTAAGGGGATGTACAGTCTGCTGTGTCCTTGACGGGCATGGCCCATTTGGCCACGAGATCTGCCATGTCGTACAGCAAGACTTACTCAGACTAACTACTGACAATCCAGATCTGCCAATTCGATCAAAAAGTGTACTTCAGGAGGCTTTTCTGAAGGTGGGGTTGCACGTGGCAACTGCGGCACAGCGCCGCTGGCTTCGTTCATATTGAGCGCGTGAGCCTAGGGGTAGACGTGGAACCCGTAGTGAAGATAAGCGTACATTGTGAATAGTGGTTATGCCTCTACTTTGCGCAGGCCCACAGCAACTTGCAATCGAAGTGTGACTCCTTTAGATTGGACAGCAAGTTTAGCGGCACTACCGTCACCGTTCTAGTATACCTGAGAAAACAAAACAAGCTGTTCACTGCTCACGTCGGTAATAGCAGAGCTGTGCTCTGCAAGATGAACAGATATGGTAGGGACGTTGGGTAATTCCCATTTTTCTGTGTGGTCGGAGCACTGATCATCGGCAGTGAGGAGGTATATACATTGCTGATAGTACTCGCGCATTCACCAGTCTGAAATAGCCTTGGCACGTTTCCATTGTTGGTGTCTCCATGCAGGTTGTGGGGTTCGCGCGGTAGACCTCACTGTGGACCACACTCCAACCAACAATAAAGAACTACGACGGATCGTTAAAGCTGGTAATGCAGCTCTCTTTAGACGTCACCCACCCAACAAACCCCTCACTACTTAGCCGCTCCGCAATGCTCAGTTTATACTCCTTCATCTCATGCTTGCAGGAGGACAGGTTAGGGCCCTAGGTGGTGATGGTCTCCATCGCATTTTCTTGACGAGCGGATGCTTGCCTGGACTGGCCGTAGCTCGGTCCATTGGCGACACACTAGCAGGGGGTGCAGGTGTCATATCTCTGCCCGAGATAAGGGGCAAGCCTGTTCCTACCACTTTCCCTTTGTCAAGCCGCATGTATACACTTCGAGAGCAAATTGATCTCTTCCTACCTCAGAGGGGAGGACTGCAATTTGTAAAGAGATCAGCATCATATTCTCCGCTTCGTGGAGGTCACACCCGATGTATTCATTCTTTGCTCTGTTTCAGAATACAAAATCGACGCCAAGCGCGACAAGTTCCTCCTATTATGTACTGACGGTGTCTGGAACGTCCTTTCATCACAAGAGGCAGTTGAAATAGCCAATTCGGCCGAGCAGCAAGAAGTGAACGAGCGCACTCGCTTACGGGGCACGAAGACCACAGTGTATACTATATCCTTGTCTAGTATAATGACGTGGCTCTTTCACTACATTAAGGCTAGTATCAGTGAAATAATTGGCTCAAATTTCTAGCTTCAATGTACTGAGCATACGACGAGCCATACGGTGGATAAACAGTGGAGTCTTGCACCCTATTCTTTTTCTGAGCCAAATACAGTCAAGCTGATATTTCCTTCTGCTCTATACAGATAGTTATGCCTGAATTAGTGCAGATGCGTTCTGTGTGTTTGCTGTCCAGTGGAGAACAGCCCCAGAAGAACTGGCTCGTGAGTCGTGGCGCCGATGGATCAACGAGGAGCAAATCTTCGCAGACGACATGACTGTACTCTTCCTAAAACTATGCTGAAGCGTACTGGGCAACAAATTCTCTGGTGAATGCAGCCAGAATTGAGGTACTACAGAAAAGAAATCAGCCCAAAATAGATACATACAGTTCTATGGGAATGTTTCTTATAGAGCCTTCGCCGTATTGCCCAGTTGTCTGATGGTCAAACACCCAGGCTGTAAGTCTATCCACATGCTCAAACACAGTCTCTGCAGGCTAGAACAAATGAGGCATCCGATGGATATCTCACAACTGCTCATTCCTCCAACTGGGTTCTTATCTACGCAAATTCATCCGCTTCAACCAAAATGGGTTCTTCAGCCGGTTGCACACAATGGCTCTTAGGGCTTTATGGGCTTTGAAGCCTCAACTGTCCTGTGCGGCTTGAATGACCTGCTTGAAGGATGCTGATCCTGCGGCGCCTTTGCTGTACTTCTTTTGCACAAAATGACGCTCTCGTGACAAACAGCAGCTCAAGAGCAACACCGATGCTCCACACAAAGCCTGTCTGATGCTTGTAACCTCCTCGTACACCGCATAATCCAGCGGTCGAACTGTATGACTTTTCCCGTAATGTTCCTAATCTCTTGTAAGCCTTATGTCGAACACATGCCAAGTCGGGATTTGTGGGGAATGCACTTGAGCATTAACTCCTGGCATAACCTTAAGGATGCAACAATCACTACAGTCCCCAAGTGTTGCAGAAAGCTCAACAGCTTAATGCCTAAGCAGTATCCTCGGAATAGGGGACCACTGAAGAATCCATGTGCTTGGACAGTGATCAGCAACTCACTTGCATGCAGCTCAAAATATACCTGTCCGTCATGTTTCTCACGGCCTCCACTGTATCTTGATTTCCAAGTTCGGCGATCTCTTCTACTGCCATCTGTATAAGCGGGGGCCAGCAGTTGGCTCCATCCCATTGCTGCCCAGTTTCGGTTTGGGTTGTCTGAAAATATAATTGACGGCAAACCAGAATCATGCAATGTGGACCATGGTGCACAGCCACACGGGGCAACTGGAGGACAAAAGAGATAAGTACACAGCTCGCTGACAACCCCCAAGCGTTCCACAGTTCTGAGTCTTCAACGAGGAAGTTTGCTGATAAGAGATGCTCTCTTCGGGCTGCAGTAGCATTCAGCGATAGTCAGGTTGACGCATGTGCAAGTACTTTTATCGCCACGGCTGCTGCGGTTGTGGGCAAAGAGACGGCATGTTTGCAAGTTTACAGGAGAATGGGGCTGCATTAGGAGGGCTGCAACTCCAGCGGAAGCCACTCTTCTAGGGTGTAAGCCCCTAGATGTGTCAAAGTCTAACCTGCAAAATTTGGGAGCCCGGCCTACACACAAAGTCAACGATTCTTAGCCGTGGTCGAAGACAAGCAAACTCCCATACCGCAATTCGAGGCTCAGGAATTCCTCCCAAAACGCCCAAACGGAACCTTTCTGTGGGTTTCTGCAGATTCTAACCTGCTCATAAGTACTCAAGGTCCCTGTCTCGTGGGCGACGACAAACTACCGCTACCTTCTTCATTCCACAGCAGCTTCAGCATGGCCTCTCTGCGCTCATTCGCGCAACTGAAAAGGAACTGCAGGCGTTCGGCGACCTTTGTATTGTGCATTTGACCGACTAAGAACGTTCCCGAAGAAAAAGAGGTACAGTTCAGCATGGTGAAGCTTCTCACAAGCAACGGCAACGCCAGCAGCACACCCATTCTGCGCGTTGCAAGAGTCCTTCCGACGGCACTAATTCTTCCATCGTTTTTCCTCTTGCTCTATACCCGGAAGAGTTATAAACGTTACTGTATGCAGCAGACAGTCCACAACAAGCCTGTTAAGATCCACTGGGAGGAATGCCTCGGTACGCATGTTCGGCGTCACCCCTTCTTTACAAGCGGCCATGTCGTGTGGAACCCAACGGGAGCAGAAGTCCCAACCCTGCGCACCGTACACCTATAATCGGACAACGAGGGTAGTACTTTACGTGATGATATGCCTACCAATCTATTCGGTGGCTGGCCACACGGAGAGGCAATCCACGGTAAGCGAACCGACTCAGCAGCTGCTCGGATGCTTCGTATTATGCATGCTCGAACTTTGTCGTTGAATTCATCAGAGCCACCCTTCGCTTTTTTATCTACACCTCCTACTACCAGAGCATCGTATTACCACGAATCTGTTCGTGGTTGTGAGACACGGCCGAGATAACGGCTCAAGAAGAAGTCTTTCCCATCGGAAAACAGCCTGCATATGTGCGCAAAGCTTAAAAAGTGCTGAAGCATGCAACTCCAGCCCAATGTCTCTCCCCAATAAGCATCTCGACGCGGGCTGCACGCTGAAGCCTACTTACAGTACCGCCGAAGGCACCAGCGTATGCCCTTGGATGCATGCTGAATGGCACAGATAATTGACAGAAACGAGGTCACAGTATATATGTCCCAGGTTTTAATGATCTACTTACCTAGAGTTACGCGTACTTGACGGGAGGCACCTTCGACCCAATGCAAATATTCATGCTGTGCATCCATGTAGGTGTTGCGGATCAGCTTCGCATAGTTCTCAAATGGTCAAAACTTCTCGACTCTGCATGATGTCGCATGCTCTCCCGCGTACAAATCATAACGCTCACCTCAAGATATCCAGTGAAGGCATGATACACCGACAGCATCATGCTGAAGACTGGAGGCTGGCTCCGGGTAAGGTAGTACGAGCGCGTTGCGTCTGACACAGCGAGAAGGCCGGAATGGACGCGTCTGTCTGTGGTTACTTGGGAGTGAACGAAGACTACGGACGATGTACATACCAAACTGGCCCTATCCGTACTTTGAATGAATCCAAATCTTCTAATAAGGTCTGAGATGTTGAGGATGATGCCTCGAGCTGTGGAAACCATGCCGCTGTATAAAAGGTCTCGAATTATCCAATAGGAGAGCCTGCAAGGAAAATGCGCGTACTCCAGAGAAGAAGCCCAACGCATGCTGTTTCATGCCAGCAGCATTTTAGCCTGGAATGCTTCCCTTATTTACTTTGTGTGCATAATACAAAGGCGCACCAGTAATACACTTCTCTGAATCGACCTCCGGGGATTACAAAACCCCACGGAAAGTCCACTAACGATGATCCAGTTTCGCGATGGCTCCTGTAATGGCAATGAGTCAACCAGGAATAGACTCACGCAAAAACGTCCTGCCCAACTTTCCCCATAAAAGAATGATGCGCCGAGCAAATTCGTCCTCCGCAAAGCGCGTGAGCTCAAGCATGCTGCAGCTGGGTGTATTTCTGCAACGCCGGTTGGAATGTGGAAGCTCAGTCGAATCGGAGGTTTCCCTCTCACCAGTAGAAGTGTTTTGCTGTAGCCAATGATTGTTGCTATTGATGCGTATCCTTCCTCCTCTTGGCTTCCTGTTCGCGGTACGTCTGTCAACCATCTGCGAGATGCAGCGTCGTAATGCTGCAAGGACTTAGCCTAGCGACTGGATGCTTGGCATAAACCATACAAATACTGATGGAGAGAATGCAGAACTTACAATGCGCGCATAATCCGCTCATAAACCACGCTGGGTCTAGTGTAAACTAGGCTAGCAGAAACGAGAATAATGTGCGTACTTCCTCGTAGGTCGGGTGGCGTCCACTCGATTACATCCAGAAAGCGTGGAAAAAAGCATCCTTGAAATACCTGTTTTAACTCTTGTGTACTTGCATTCTGCGGCAGACTAGAGACGCAATTCACGATGACGGGGACGGGCACTTTCATAGCCAAACCAACCAGATCTTTGCTCTCAAATTTGCCAAAGATCCTACTCATTGGTGCACAAGCGGACGCGGTAAGCATATGATGAGGGTGTTTGGGGTAATGAATGAGCATACAACACAGCATTCGGGTGTAAAGTGTGTGAAGCGCACCCGTGGACCATTGGTCCTTTTCACTGCAGGCAATTTCGTCAACAAAGACAATTGCTTTTTTCCTGACGACTCGCTTTGATCCGTTGAGAAGTCGCTTGCACTACCCATTTCACACAACATAGTAACCGATATGGGATCGCCACTACCAGCCCGACGTGCCAGTTCAGGTATTTGACTACTTTCTGTGGAAGTAGTTGTGATAGCATTACTCGTTTATTCTGTGCAAGGCCTTTTTTACTTGCTGCACGCGCCAGCTTTGCCGGTCCCCGAGCGCGTAACCGCAGTTCTTGGTACGCAATTGGAATTGCTAGTAACTTCTGTTACGCGACTCCTGCACCGTTCTTTTAGCAAAGGCAAGGCAAAATGAGTAACAAAAATATACTTGGCAGTCTCTGTTGTCTTGGACTAAACGCTGGCATCCGGCAAACACCACATGGTGACCCTGAGCAGGCGAAATGAGGCGGGCCAGCAGGCTTTAGGCAAGGACAGAGAGGTCTCACTGGGATGTTGTCACCTTAAAAAACTGAAAAACTAGCTAATAACTCTTCGTGATGCATTATACGCCATGGAGAAGAAACAGTGCAGTATGTTGGTGGCAAGAGCTTGTGGTTGATTCCTGTGTTGGTTGCCGTGGCATGTAGTGCACAGGATGTTACGTACCCATAAGAGGCTCACCAATCTGAATGAGAACTACTTTGAATAGCTGGCATGTTGATGGCAAGACTATCTGGTGTTTCTGTCTTACTTTGTAGGCTTTAAAGGAAAATTTAAGGCGCCTTGCTTAAAGACGCCCCCGGAGTATCGACGCACTTGTTGCTGTTTGTGTGGGCACATTCCCAACTTCAAGACATTAAGGTCCCGCTTCCCCCACTAAAATCCCACTTCTGGCCGATGATGGGCTAGAATTTGCTGTACTTTCTCCTTGTTTCCCTACCCACAGTTAAGCAGCCGGGAGTCACCTCTTGCACTGTTGAGTCGCCCATTTTGTTTGCTAACGCTCTAGACTTTATTTTAATGAGGATATTGCCTTCTTTTTTGGCCATCGATGAGGGCAGAGTCCTATACTTTAGTTCCATCTAGTATACCAACGGCTTGCGCGCGCTAGCCTCTTTTGTTCCTAGTGGAAGCGATTCCCGGTGGGGGTCAGAAAAAAGATGCTCATAGAACAACTCCAATAGAAGCTTTATTCCTTCTATCACAAATCCAATAAGCTGTTTAGCCTGCTGGATGAATGCTATACTTGTCGACCCAGAAGCATGAGCAGAGACGGAGTTCAAACTGATTCAGGTAGGACAGCTTAATAGCAACCAATATTGGTGGTGTGTTTGGCTGCGTTGATTGCACCTAAGCCTGTTTGGCTGCACTTTTTCTATAGGCATTCTTCTCCAGATTTCCTCCACTACGTACAGACACACTTGCCGGCCTACATTTCATCCTGCAATTGCTTCCTGTCACACTCATCCGAGGACCCTAATACGAAATCCTCGCTTTTACGGCATAATGTGTTTGTCCACCTTCGAACTGCACTTACGCGGTGACGCCCCCGGGAATTCTCCAGCTAAATAAAAAGCTGGATCCACAATTCAGCAGCAGTACAACCTATATTGTTTCACCTACGGAATGCCTGTCTTCCTTCCCCGTCCGCCGATTGGGAAGTAGGGAGACATCTGCCCGAGCCCGTTATTCCCAGTATTCAGCAGGTGTTTAACACGTAACGTTAACGCAACTGGAGAAAACAGAACTGTTCAACTCTCTGTGGACTCCCTGCACTCACGACGAACAGCTTCCATCGCGATTAGTTTTATTCGGCGACCGAAGTGCTTATGTGGCGGAGCACGGGATTGCATATCACGCATGCTAGTTATTGCCGCAGAGGCCTCTCTGGTGGTTACCGAGCTAGTACCTCGGCAATCCCCTTGGATAAGGATTTATTCGCCGCCCCTTGAACTGTTTCAAGTGGGGCGAACCGCAAAGCTCAAAATCATAGCGCCCATTTACTCGGGTTACTATCCTGCATCCACTTTATTACTCGCACTGTGAACTCTTTCAGGTGGAACAATGACGGTACTTTGGAAGCTCGAATTCTGGTGCAAACAGGCCAACAGCGTGAAGCAGGTCAAGTTGCAGCACCGCCGTCTGTGCGCGTACTATTCTGTCACTGAAGAGCAACGGAACGTCAATAAATAAGTGGCGAGTCACCCTCCAGTCTCCTTGGTAATATACCTGAACTACGCAATTCTCATTTAGGATATGCGAGTGACTGGGTAGGCGACTTTGGTATGTGTCATTATTCAACGCATGCACATCTGCCTGCGAACATACTGGGTGAAAACAAAAGCGTTAATTACAAGTTGGACAGCTAGCTACGTCTGTACGCAAAAAGTTGTAACACTGCCTTTCAAATGCGGGGTATTAAGCCCACCGAACCACCAGAAATTGGACAGATGCAGCATCTCCCGCTCTTGTGTCCAAGGGCTCCCCTGCGTACCTACTCATTGTCACAGTCTTCTCCGCAGTTTTACCCATCATGTCACGTGCTCTTGGCATGTCGGCAGTGGCCTCCCTCTTCAATTGGTCGTGGTCGTGGACAAAAATCTGCCGGAACCGCTGGCCTTGACGCTCATTTAAACAGCTTCAGACTTCGTAGGCGATGATACTCCCACAGAGCCTGGTTGTACTGCTGTCTGATAAAGATCACGAAGGGTTACTTGTATGCCGAATTCAGACTGCCGTATGCCGTCGCAAACAGTTGTCCACTGCCAGCAGTAGCTGAATTGCTGTGCTTTAAGACTTCTCCAAGGGGGAATAGGCGGCCTAGCTTTCTGCAATTGGTTACCGACAGGGGTGGCTGCTGCTGAGGTATATGGGACAAGGTACTTATGGTCCTCGTGACGTTCTGCTTGAGGAGAGCCGTCTGCGGAACTCTCACAAGCCTCCATAGTACTCGCACAGGCTGGCTGAGTCAGTTGTAACTCCACTGAGGTTGATTTAGAAGGCCTTGGCGGAGTGCATACTGCTCTTAGATGCTCAGACGCCATCGCTGAATCGCAAACTGCGCAGGCAAGCGACGGCAACGAGGCGCGATGCTCAGACGCCATCGCTGAATCGGAAACTGAGCAGGCAAGAGACGGCAACGAGGTGCACTGGCGCAGCAGCGAAATGAAGATACACGACATCATTACCAGCTTACCCGGCTCAAGCATCACAACATGGCGCGTCGATAGATGCACCTCGTCCGGCAGGAAAACCATGAGCGGCGCACTGGGGAATAGCGATATGCCCTGTGTGCAGCGCAGACCGTTACAGATCGAGTTACAGAATTCTCGTTCCTGAATGTTTCTGGACAATCTATTGGCATGTCTCACTGTCCAGATCACATATACTTAGCAGCAGCATTCCATCATAAAAGTTCAACTCAAAACTGTCATGAACTGCTGAGGGCTTACAAACCTCGTCAACAAGGATGTGGTTCCGGATGATCAAACCAGCACATGGCCCCGTGACCTCAACGCCGCAGACAACATTGCCGTTCATAACAATATGCCTTTGTTTAGACCATCTAAGTTGTCTGTCCCTTGCGCAGCGAAGACACTTGGCTCTGGGGGCTTCGTTCTCAGATAGACAACTGTCTACATAATTCTCTGTGGAGACGCCATCTCTACCAAGTCTTACATTGCCCCCCGCGTCTTCTGTCCTTAAACCGCATGCGGAAATTCCATCTGGATCCTTGTAGGAGCATCCCGCGAGCGACGCAAGCTCGAAACTCTCCAATACACAAAAGCGGCTACTCAACGACACATCTTCCAGACGAATGGAGGCGCCGCTCATCGTGCGTCCACTCTCCGCAATGCGCCTTTGCTGTGGGTCATAGGGTTTCTCCCCCTCCACAATCTTCAAGTACTGGCTGCTCGGCACAAGAGGAGGACAGGATGCGGGTGCTGCCAAAGTCTGCCAGCGCCTCGGCACCACCGGGCAACAGGCAGGGCTGCAAAGCTCCCAAAACCCAAGCACACAGATTCACATAAGTACAAACAATTCTGCATGAAATCCACCCAGTGCAACTGACTTTAAGCACCACGCAGTGCCACAACAGCTAATATATTCGTAACTGTGTAGGATTATGCCATGAAGCGTCAAAGAAACGAGGTAAAGAAGCGTCTCACCATGTGTGTGTGCGGACGAACTGAAGGATGCCGGGCAGGCCAAATGCAGAGACAATTGGGCCGCAGTACTGATCATCTATCAAAGCAATGCGATAACGATGAAGATGGGCTTGCAGCACTTCAGCAGTTCCATCCAGTTTAGCTATTCCAGCATACGCCTCCTGGCAGTGATGCTGCACGCCAAGCCCCTCAGCCGAGTTTGTCATAGCATCGCCTCGTTGCTCGCAACCACATTTCGCAGCTCCTCCACAAGTGTGTGGTGGCGTCTTTTCGCAACTAAGCACCTGAGCTATGCGATGCTCGAAGACCTCCTCCTCTAGAGCTTCAAGCGATCGAAAGACCTTCAGACTCTCGGGGCAGCCAAAACATTTCGCAAAGGTCTCAGCGCTTTCCCAGTTGGATTCTTTCATCTGCAATAAACAGCACGACGCACATGCAAAGTGACGATGAACACAGTCGTGAAAGGAATGGCCAGCTAAATTCGGGCAGATAAATGCTTTTTATGTCCCAAGGAGCAGCACACAGCCACACATATATGCCCTGTACCTCCAACAGCGGCAGCTGCGTGCACGTATGCACGAAACTGCCCCCGCAGCCAAGCAATCTCACCACTACAGTGTGGACTTCTGAAATGCCCAGTGACATCACCAGTAGAGAAGGACGCAACAGAGGATCTTCAGAAATGACCAAGGCACAATTCTTCGCATAGGTACAACGGCAAGCTGCTTCAGGGTAGGGGCCTCCAGTCGATTCGCCATTTGGACTATTCCACTCCCGGACCGCCTCGGCACCATCATTCTGGCCTACTATCTCGTAGTGCTGGCTCCCCGCAAGCTGGAAGGCAGCAGGCCGAATGCCGAACTTAAGAGCCCCGCGAACGAAAACAGGCCATGCTGTACACTTTGTGCACTCAGGCAGAGGCCAGTGGCACGCTTTTACAGGAACGGAGAGCCGCCGCCTGAACCCGTGCAGATCCAACGAAGGTAAATGAAACAGATGATAGTCACTTTTCAGAGTTGCGAAGCCGGTGCTACAAGACTTCGAAAATATTGAGATGATCTAGTGTGTGTGCCTGCAAAATGGGTATACACAGTTTTCCTGCTCCAGAAGAAACTGGTCGTAGAGATCATCCCCAGCGGGGGAGTTTGCATGAGAAGCACAGCTCTCGCATACCTCAAGGCTGCCTGAAAGGCATCCAACTTCTCCCCGCCTAGCCGGAGCCACTGCAAAGTCAACTTGCTTGACGGCCAGCAGTCTTGAAGTGTCAATCCACCCTGCATTGCACCGGAACGACGCTGAATAATTCGGCATCTCGAATTTTCCCCAATGCACCATAGAGCCTTGAGTACGGGTTGCACGCACATCATCGATAGGAAGGGACTAATGAACAGTAGAAAGCAAACTTATGAGCCTTCTGGAAATGCGAAAACGGCCGAAGAAGCAAACATAGCATGACTCCATAACAGCCTGTCATACGCATCTAGGCTCACCTCGCTCGTCTGCACCTCTGCAGAGTCCACCAAAGATCCTGAGATCGGCTGCGAAGCCGGGTATCCGTTTGTTTTCGCGTGACGACGAGGCTCTCCAGCTGCACGGGGGGTGCCCTCACTCGGGAGGTGCAACAGCCCCCCGTCTCCCTCCTTCCGTCCCCTTGGCTGGGTTTTAACATCACCGCCCTTCTGAAGAGGCGCCCCACATGGATGAGTTGCAAGCAGGCGCTTCTTTGCAGCAAGGGAAAGCTGCTCAGGCCATTGTCGCTTGCGCCTGGAACGCGGTGCCTGTGTGCAGACGAACAGACACTCATTCGGCATAGCTGAGTAATAGCTGCGCATTTCTGACATGAAATGCGTGGCAAGTGCATGGAGAGACGGAGTGGATAGATGGATCTGGTTACTCAACAGTGCGGCGGACAGAAAAATGCAAGTAGCGAATGATGCAGTCACCTACGAGCAATCTGATGGGCTCTACACCTACAGAATGGCGGTTGAAAATCCTCAGATAGGAATCTTCATGTGGTGTCCTCCTGAGCCGTTTTTGATACTTCATATTGGATAGGCGAGCCCACTTGCAACGGAAAAAGGTGCCCCCGTTGTCTGTCTGCATTCGATATCTCCCCCAGAAGTCATCTCATCCCTTCACTGCTAAAAACGTTATATATTCTGCTTCATGGTGAGCAAGGCAACCCGAGCAGGGGACCATCCAGTTCCTGCAAGGAGTCCTAACGCGGACAAGCACATCGTTTGCTGGGGTTCTCCTCAATCCTCAGTCGCCTCAGCAGGTCAACAATAGTCGGGGTCCTTTGCTCCTGGCGCCCTCCGTAACTTCGCCAAAAGTGCTGAGCCGATATGCTTTGCTCCCCTCTAGCAATGATGCTACCATGGTCACTTGTCGGTGATGAAGCTCCCCTTGGAAGACACTCCCTGGAATGCACTCCTGGACGGCCCTGCAAGCCTCCCGGCTGATGAGTTAGATACGTTAATGACCGTCAATTTAGCCTCCCCAAATGTAAAATGGCAACTTAACTCTTATTTCCTAACATGGGTCGGGCACGGGATACGAAGGCGTGCAGCGTCGTGAATTGGTACAACTGTCTTGTGAGCCGCAACCGCAGTCCCTCACTCTCGTTGATAAAAGTCCACTTCCCTATAAACTTCAAATTGGAGAGAGGGAAGACAGCAACTGCTGTGGTTGGCCGCTCGACGACGGCCTGACTCTAGAGGCTGTGTCAATGTGCCACCAGGGGAGGTTCACCCGCGTGTGTGTAAGGCGACAAAGACGCGATAGGCATAACGACGTCGTTTATTCCATTTATATGGATAATGTATTATCCCAACAGGTTGCGATGGACATCAAACGCCGACCCCCCCTCCGTGGGAGGCACATCGAGAGCACGAAGCTGTCTTCCGTGTGGAACCGTTTCTATTCAGTCCGTCTCTAACAGCACGAAGCTTCGCTCGAAAACATGCAACTAACAAGGCAGAATTTCAGCTACGCAGAATCTTGACAAAGTTGAATACTTCAAAGGGTCGACTTCCGCACAGAGTTTCCTTCAGCTGGTGGAGTGCAGTCTGCAAGCATTCAACATAATGCCTACGACGTTATGTTTTAGAGTGACCACAATGCAGCTCCATCTTCTACAATGATCCCGTTATCCTCTCTTATGCATGCATTGTAAGCCCATGAGGAAGTCCCTAGGTTGCGACGTAAACGACAATTCGCCCCCGGCCCTCCCGGCCCTCTCCCAGCAAATGGTAACTGAACAATGCTATGCGCATAACCACTAACAGTTGGAAGTCACTGAATCTGCAAATTGTCATAGTGTATATCTTACAGGAGGGCCGACGGCAGCTCTCCTGCATCCAAAATCCAGTGTCACCTGCACGCAACGGCAGCATATAAGCTCTCGAGTAGAGAACTGCCGTCGATTGTGACGAAACTCGCTTTTTCGAGACCGCATTAAGCCAAACAGTAGGCACATTGCAGCTGCCCTTCCTTCTTTCTTGAGCCGCTCCTCTAGAAAAATCCCCCCACAGCATCCGCTCGATACATTCGCCTGGAATGGGGTAGGGGGGC